AAAAATCAATGGGTTAAAAAAAGTGGTTGACCAAAAACCGATTCCGCTTGTCAAAGATTTACAATTGGCATCTATTATTGCGTTTTTCACGGAATGTCACAAGTTTCTAGACGACATAGTTCGCAAGATTCGCAGAGTCACCATCTATCGATTAAAGGATATGGGGTTATTTAAGAATCCAGAACTGCTTCAAATGCTCTTCCTTTTTGTTACTAATACGAGAAGGAGCACAAAGAAACTCACCTTTAAGAAAACATTTTTTGGAAGTGTGTTGAGCACGAACATATCAATCATTCAATCGGCCATTCAGTCAATCCGTCAGGCAGCAGAGATTTATATATTTAGATACGAAGTGACGTCATTCGGGGCCGGACGAGCCCCCGGCAGCGTCAGCTGAGAGCGTGCCGCCCACGCGGTGAACGATTTTCTCACCCTATTCTCTCTCGCTCTCTTAGAACCGTTATTCGTATTCGTTGCCGGGCCGCAACGCTTACTCACAAGCCAAACATTGCCACGCATTGCCGAAAGAAGTCGAAATAAACTCTTGACGTCGTCGTCGTCGTCGTCGTCGTCGTCGTCGCCGTCGTCGTCGCTTGCGCTGCCGGCGTGCTGAGCTGATTATGTGTTTAGCGAGGCGGCATTCGGTCAGTACCTTGTGCGCTGTCGAAGAGAACGCATGTGCAGAGACCAGAAACCAAATAGATAGAACTATATATACGACAATTTGAGAAAGCTTAGCCAAAAGTCATTAGCCAGCAGCACGTTTTTGTGATAATGTTTAAAGGTGTACCAACGCTTGCGAATTTGAATTTGCGTTTGCTAACCGGCCACGCGGCCAAGGGCCGTGAGTTTTCCGCCGCACTGATTAATGGCCAGGTGCTGGTGCGACGCACTAAGGCTACGGCAACATCTCTCGACCTGGCCGACGCCAATGGCAGCAAGATCGACGTCGATGTGTACAGTGAGCAGGAACTGCTGAAACGCGCCAAATTTAGGCATACGGGCTTCGAGGTGCAGAAGAAAATCGCAGCTGAGGTGAGTTAATCAGGACACCCAACCACGACCACGAGGTGGATTAATCGGGACACCCACCCAACCAGCTGATATCGTGTTTTCGGGGGTTGTCTCTCGACGGTCTTTATTTGTTTGGGCCACAAACATGTTTGCATCACATAATTATTGATTTTTACAATGCCCATTAAATCCCACACTTTTCAGTTTATAAATACGTGCCATTTGGCGAAATTCGCTGGAAGCAATTCATACCATTTATACAAGTCTGGAGTTGAATTACATTAGAAATATGTTACGGCCAGACGGGCAAATATAAATATATATAACAGGCTTTCAGACAGACAGCCAAGTTCTTATCTAGGTGCCCCTTGAATTTACCTAAAAGTTACGTGCCCAAAAAAAAAGTTGTATATCATGCGTTTACCTTGTTATCTTATCAGAGAGCGGGGCATCTGGTTGAGTCAAGCCGTGACTACTGGAAAATTGCATTGGGAAATTAATCGTGACGTTTTCACTATTCTATCAAGATAATGATAATCCATCTATAGGCACAATTACATAGTTACCATAAATACAGAAGTGACAGGCCTCATCTTGATCCATGAATGATTTAATTGTTTGTTCAGATATTTTTTTCATAATATTTGCTTGGCACTAATTCATGATTCAGATATGTGTTAACACGCAGAATCTCGAAATGCCAAAGTCACGAGAAAAATGTCACACAAAAAGAAATCCCAGCGAGCGTTAATAGCTATATACACATATATAAATATGTATTCATATAAACATATCTAAACATGTGCGCTTTTTGCGAATTTTGATTAGCACTGGGCACTATCGCATGGGAGTCGAGCGCCAGAGCAGAAACCTATTAAATAGAGAACGGGTCTCGCATGTACATTAAATCAATGAATATAAAATTATATGTTTATATATTCTGGCTTTTAGCGTGTCTTGAGGTCCACTCCAAGTTTTGATTGGGCACACTTTTTGGATCTATAAGAAAATACATATCAATTAATGAAAATAAAAATGTATAATACTTAAGTAAATATAAATAATTCACAATTCAAAGTTAAGTAATAGGGATGCCATCAAATGTTTGTATATTCTGGCTTTTAGCGTGTCTTCAGGTCCACTCCCAGTTTTGATAGGGCACACTTTTTGGATCTATAAGATACTAAATATTATAAGTTATGGAAAACAAGAATTTATAATACTAAAGTAAATATAGATAATCTAAAATTCAGAGTTAAATAATAGGGATGCCATCAAATGTTTATATATTCTGGCTTTTAGCGTGTCTTGAGGTACACTCCCAGTTTTGATAGGGCACACTTTTCGGATCTAAAAGATAATACATATTAAAATTTATAGAAAACAAGAATTTATAATACTCAAGTAAATATCCAAATAATCTAAAATTCAGAGTTTAATAATTGGGTTACCAAGTGTTTATATATTCTGGCTTTTGGCATCTCTTAAGGTCCACTCCAAGTGTTGATAGGGCACACTTTTTGCATCCATAAGATACTACCTATTATCATTTATGAAAAACGATAACCAACATTGGCGCTTATTATACTAAAGGAAATATAAATAATCCAAAATTCAAGGCAAAGTTAATTATTTGGGGTGCCATCGTTAGCTACCTGGCTGCTTACCTGGCGTGGAAACGTTTACGTTTCGTTGCCATGGAAGAAAATATAATTCTTGGAGACATGCCTATAAAGATACACACACACAGAGGCACATGTCTAGCTACCAGTTTTTGTGTTCAGATATGTGTGCTAAAATATTTTTGTTGGCACTTGACAAAAAACAAGCCCCTCGCATTTGTTGCTGTGGCTATTTCCGAGAGCGTCGAGCAGCACATAAACAAATGCAACTTATGAGAAAAACACACACAAACACACACACACACACACACACACACAGATACTTTAAGTACTTATTTCGTACTTTTTGGTTTATTTATAATTTTCAATTGTTTTTTTGCGCTGCGTGCGTCAATATCTTGCGGATACTCTTCATTTCGTTTGTGAAAGCTGTCATATGCAAAAAAAAAATAAAAAAGGTGATTATTTTTTTAAAAGGTGGCTGCAGTTGGTTTCCTTTATGGTTATTGTTATTTACACAGTTATTAACAATAAAAAGCCGCAGCTGTTCTTATTAGACTTTCCTTCACGTGACTGCGCCTCCGCAAAAAACTTGTAGGCAAATAGCACGTGCTAAGTTTTTTAGGGGCAACTACTAAAAAGTCGTTCTTAAATGACTTTTTATCAATTATTTGCCCGTTCAATTAACAAATTGACGTCCCGCTGTCGAGTTGGACTCCGGGTGAGCATCTGCCCGGGCCCAGCACGGGCTGATGTCATCCGGCAAACTGAGCTAATCCAATATCCGTAGCCAGGTGTTCAATTGCAAATCAATTAGATTAGACCGGCAATTCCCAAGCTGTCTCTGAATGAATTTAATCTGTTAGAGTATTCAATATTTGATAACCAATTGCTTGGCTATTTCGAAGAAAAGTTCAAATTAACCAAAATGGGAAAATGCTTTTAGCATAAAATTAAATGAGTTCTCTTTGCAAGAGAATTTGAGAATATGAGTCAAGGAGAAGAGAAGACAAATAGAATTGTGTTAAACAAATGCAATAAAATTAATAAGAAATATTAATTTATATAAATTTATATAATAACTATAATAATTAATCTACTTTTATTATTATCATAAGTATAGAACAAAGTTGTTATAAACTAAAAGCTTAGCTTTTGAAATGGAACTTGTTATTCCGAATGTTTGACCTTCGACTGCAGTTCGAACCCGCAACCTTGCTGTTAATTTGTCTGTCGAGCTAAGAAGGTCACTCAGAGATCAAATTTGGAATTAGAAAGCAGAAAATAAACCCAATTTGCATGCAAAATCACACCAAAACAATATTATAATTACCTATAATAGTAAAAACAAGTAAGAACTTCTAGGCGGGAGCTCCCGACTAGGGGATACCCTGAACCCTCTTCTTCCGACAGGCGATAGGTATAGAATGACAAATACTTGATATATATTTACTATTCCAGAAGCTACATGTCAAGTTTGGTGACTCTAGCTCTTATTATTTACCAAAATTGCTCAAAAAACAGGATTTCGATTTCGATTTTTATCGATTACTTTGAAACGGGGCAAGTTATCGAATAGCGGAAACAAGCTCGATCTGCGCGGGGACTAGGAGGACCTACAGCTAAAATTTCAAGTATCTAGCTCTTATAGGTTCTGAGATCCTTGCGTTCATATTGCTCAAAAAACATGATTTCGATATCGATTTTTATCAATTACTTGGAAACGGGGCAAGTTACCGAATATCGGAAATAAACTCGATCTGCGCGGGGACTAGGAGGACTTACAGCTAAAATTTCAAGTCTCTAGCTCTTATAGGTTCTGAGATCCGGACAGACATGGCTAGATCGACTCGGCTGTTGATGCTGATCAAGAATAGATATACTTTATGGGGTCGGAGATGCTTCGTTCTGCCTGTTACATACATTTGCACAAATACAGTATACCCTGTTTATCCATTTTTAATGGGTTCAGGGTATAAAAAAACATAAGAGTATTCAGCTGATGAACGAGAATTAATTCGAAATATTTCATTTCACAAATTATTCACTATATATTTAAACCAAGCCATGTACTTTCTGTTACCATGTTTCTTTCTTTATCTAATAATCTATTTATCTAATATTAATGAATTAATTAACTTTCATAGCATGTTTATGGATCAATTAGTGAATTATTCGCTAAGTGAAATATTTCAATATCAAAGCAAGCCTGGCACTTCAATTTAAATCTCCAGCATATTTAATTTCAATTTTATATCAAAAAATTTTGTATTTACTTTCAGAGAATGTTTTTTAGACCAATATTTTTTAATTTTTTGTTTAAACAAAAGTGCATATGTTCAGCATACCCGTTGTTCAATTCTTTACAGGTAAAATAAATAACAGTTGCTTGAAATTTGTGTTGCAGCGTTTTAGGAACTTTACGAAAAGCAACCAAAAAAAAGTTAAATACTATTATTATGGGTAGTACGAGTTCCATATATATATAGATACGATTAAGCTGTTTGTTTAGTAGTTCAATTTCGATTCGACCTAAAGCAGAAATGTCGCAACGTCTGAGAATGATAGTACGTGTGAAATACCCGAAGAACAAATACCCAAAGTTTTTAAAAATTTAACGAAACGTGCTTAAAACATATTCACATATTTACATACCACATTTAATATAAATTTGAATATATATTTTGTGTCTTTGCAGAAGAAACTGCGAACGCCGCCGCTGCTGAATCTGGTTTTCGCCAATCGCAAGTTATCCTTCTATGACACCAGCTCCGGATCTACGGACTGCGAGCAGAATGCCAAGCTGTAAGTAGAATATATTTTATATATTTTATACACAGTATAGATTCGCACAATTTCGCACAATTTCACATTGACAAAAAGTATGCGCAAAATATTTGAGTTGCCATTTGGCACCTGTTCGCCCGCAGCCGCCCTTTGCCTTTTTTTGCCACGTGGCCTGAAACCAAATAATTACAAATACATTTAGACAAACAGATCTATATAGTTATATGTAGATAGATCTATATTTGCCCAGCAGTTGGTGCTGGTCACCAGAATCCCATGCCCATTTATAGAACTCGCCTATTTTTAAACTAGCTTAAAGTAAGGCAAATAAATTGTTCAGCTCTTACAAAAGTTGACTTGCACAATTAGCGAATTTACAAAGGGAATTGAATGCTCAGCAAAAACAATATTACGTCTTTAATATGTAGCAGAAGAAGGAGAAGCACATGATTATTCATATTTATATATATTTTCGCCAACAAAATATTTACCTTGCACATTTGCACGCATCATTTTTTGAGCACATTTCTTTTGGGCCGCATGCCAAAGCATATTGCATTTGGTTTTTTTTTTGTTTTGGTTTTTGCAAGGATCCCGCCCGGTTGTGAGATACTCTGTTCGCAGTGGCGAAACTTGCAAGGGGAGAAAGTTTTGAGATCTTAAAATTTAGTTCCAGATGCACTAGGAATATTTAAAAAACATTTCACTTACCAACAAAAAGGAGGGGAAACAGAGAACTTATCTAATAGAATGTTCTCACTATTAAGGAATAATTCAAAGTTATGGGATTATATTTGGAAATAAACCATGAACAAAATGGCATTAAAATCGGTTGAATTTTATATAATTTATGGGAGGATTATGATTATATTATGGGGTATAATTACGCACAAAAGATATATAGTTCCAGGGGAAGAGGAAATTATTTAAAGGAATTTTCTCTCCATTAAGGAAAGATTCTCCAAAGTTGTGGGATTGTATTTGAAAGAATAAAATGGCATTAAAATCGATTGAGTTTTTGGCCAATTTATGGGAGGATTATGATCATATAGTTGGGCACAAATAGATATAATATTATAATATATAATTTAAATAAAAAAAAAACATTTCACATTCCGGGAGAAGAGAACTTATTTAAAGGGATGTTTTCTCCATTAAGGAAAGATTCTCCAAAGTTGTGGGAATATATTCGGAAACATGCCAAGATTAAAATGGCATTAAAATCGATTGAGTTTTTGTCCAATTTATGGGAGGATTATGATCATATAGTTGGACACAAAAGATATATAGTTCCAGACGAAAAGAAATTTAAATAAAAAAAACATTTCGCTTTCAAGGGGAATAGAAATTATGTAAAGGAATGTTTTCTCCATTAAGGAAAAATCCTCAACATTTGTGGGATTATATTCGGAAACAAACTATGAATAAAATGGGCATTAAAATCGATTGAGTTATGGCAGAGAACCTACCTATCAAAAAGTTATATATCCTTGAGGGTCTGTTAGATATCTGCTCTCCATATGCCAAGAAAAAAAAAAGAATATTTCGCTGGAGCTGGGGGCAGGCAACACGCGCTCAGCCGCTAATTGATGGCAATATCGGGGCATAAAAATAAATTAACATACATTTATTAAATGAAGATAAGATCGAAATACGCTCAATTCTTTGGCACCAGCCCAGCCCAGCCCAGACCAGCCCAGCCCAGACCAGCCCATAGACCAGCCCATAGACCGTATGCTCCGCGAACTATATAAAATCCGACAGTTTGTGTTGTGGCGCTCATTTCGGCATCGTCGGTCTGCGCGTCGACAAGTGCGAAAAGTTAACCACAATTCCGAAGGAGCAGCAGATTCCGATGGGTGAACGCAGCTTGAGCCTGTTGCAATATGCCACGGAGCAGGCGCCGCTGCCGCTGGACGGCTACACGCCGGAGGAGGCGGCCGAGTTTAAGGATAGCATACGCCAGAAGATCTTGGACGATCTGAAGTCGATGAGCGGCGAGCAGCTCATCCAGCTGGTCAAGCAGAATGCAGCCAAAGTCGTGGCCGAGGAGGAGGAGCAGCAGCTGGGCTCCAAGGCGGAGTCCGTGCAGAACGATGCCGATTTGATAGATGCCAATATCATAGCCGAAATGGTCGCCGGCATTTGCACCAAGAGCCAAAAGGCCACCTTCATCAAAGTGATAACCAAGTATATCAGGTAAAAACTCAGGTGGCAGGCGAGCCCTCCCAGAGGGGGGGAGTGGGTGGGGTGGGGGACCCCTCCATATTGCGGCTAGACATGGGCCAAATAATGCTCCAATATTGCCATTAAAATGGGCTCAGTAATGCAAATAGCTTTGTGTGTGTTTACACGCTCGCATTCGATTTGAATGGGAAGATAATTAATTTATTTTATTGCCAATAACATGATTTAGAAATTAGCGCCTATCTCTCCCCCCGTCTCCCTCCCCGCTCCCTCTCCCTCTCTGTCTGTCTCTCTCTGTCGTCCCACAATAAATCTCGCACATTTGGCTAATGTATAAAATGCCAGCTCGTCTCGCAGTTGCTTTCATTAAACCGACAACAGTTGAGCTTTGCGAGTCAGAATATATTACGCATACGCCATGGTCTTAACTGAGGATATTGTTGCATTGAAACGGCAAAGCGAAGATGGGGAGGCCAAGGTGCGGGAGGAGCTGTATAGGCGGGACAAAGAGCAGGAGACAACCGAGACGGCCGCCATGATCGAGGAGATCATCGAGGGCATCTCGCTGCAGAATCGCCGTGGCACAATCGTCCGCACTATATCCGCAATTATCAGGTATATAGTAAATATCGGGTATATAGTATATAGTATATATCAGGTATATAGTGTATAATATGCTATAGATATCGAGAGTGTGTCTATTTATGGGTTTATATGAGGCATCATAAATATAGACACAGCGACACGCCTCCCGCCCCTAATTACATTTGATTTTTATGTTTATGACACGCCAATTATATATATACTATATATACTGTATATATAATTTTGATATACTATTTATTTCCCTAGAAATCAGCGACGCAACTATTCGATAAGGCCGTGAGTAAAAATCAGTGTTTCGTAGCGTGCTTTATTTTTTTTCCAGTGTTCTGTTATGCCTTTTTGATTAATCTGAATTTATAGAGTTTTCTTAGTTTATTCTTTTATTATATAGTCATAACTTTTTGCGCACTCAATTTGCTTGGAGCGCCAATTAATTGACTTTAATTGAATATTGAAAAGAAATATATTATTTTAATTGACATTTTCTCTGATTAATTTGACACAGCTTGGCAACTCTGGCAATTGTGCACGACTATTTTTAGGCACTGTAGGTCTAGACCTAGCTAATTACCACCTTCCCCAAACTGGTTTTACGTATTTATATATTTCGTTTTGAGATTTTTTGCAATATTGTTTTGTTATTCCCACAGAAATTCTTTACCCCCAAATTATTGAAAACCCCTTTCGAAACTTCTCTTACCTTCAGCCATCGGGAGCAGGAACAACGCAATGCTGAGGATGTGCTCTTCGATATGTTTGCCAGCGAGGAGACGGGCCTTATATCCATGGGCAAATTCCTGGCCGGACTGAAGACGACGGGCATACGACGCAATGATCCGCGTGTGCGCGAGCTGATGGACAACCTAAAGAAGGTGCACAAGCTGAACAACTATGAGACGGGCTCCTCCGCAGAGACGCAGCATCTCAACCGGGAGACCTTCAAGGCGTAAGAGTTAACTCAACCCCATTTATAAAGATTAAATAATAAATAATACTTCTTTCTTTTAGCGTCGTCTCGCCGAACATTGTGCTGATAGCGAAGGCATTCCGTCAACAGTTCGTCATCCCGGACTTCTCGAGCTTCGTCAAGGACATTGAGGACATCTACATTCGCTGCAAGGGCAATACCGAGGGCAAACTGGCCGACTACATTCCCCAACTGGCCCGTTATAGTCCCAATTTCTGGGGCGTCAGCATCTGCACAATCGACGGACAACGCTTCTCCATTGGCGATGTCGAGGAACCCTTCACCCTGCAGAGCTGCAGCAAGCCCCTGACCTATGCCATCGCACTGGAGAAACTTGGTCCCAAGGTTGTGCACTCGTTTGTCGGCCAGGAGCCGAGTGGACGCAATTTCAACGAACTCGTGCTGGACCAGAATAGTAAGTGGAGCTGGCTCTAATCTCCCTTCGATTGTCGACCTTAACTCACGTCCGCTCTAATCTCCCTTCGATTGTCGACCTTAACTCACGTCCGCTCTAACCTCCCTTCGATTGTCGACCTTAACTCACGTCCGCTCTAACCTCCCTTCGATTGTCGACCTTAACTCACGTCCGTCCTAACCCCACTTCGATTGTCGACCTTAACTCATGTCCGCTCAAACCTCCCTTCGATTGTTGACCTTAACTCACGTCCGTTCTAAGCTCCCTTTGATTGTCGATCTAACCCTTTTTTTGCTCTCCCTCGCAGAGAAGCCGCACAATCCCATGATCAATGCCGGAGCCATACTCACCTGTTCGCTGATGAACGCTTTGGTCAAGCCGGACATGACCGCCGCCGAGATCTTCGACTACACGATGTCCTGGTTCAAGCGTCTGTCGGGCGGCGAATACATTGGCTTCAACAATGCTGTCTTTCTCTCGGAGCGCGAGGCAGCGGATCGCAACTACGCTCTTGGGTTTTATATGCGCGAGAACAAGTGCTTCCCGAAGCGAACGAACCTGAAGGAGGTGATGGACTACTACTTCCAGTGCTGCTCCATGGAGACGAACTGTGAGGCGATGTCTGTGATAGCCGCCAGTCTGGCCAATGGCGGCATTTGTCCCACAACCGAGGAGAAGGTCTTCCGCCCGGAAGTCATACGGGATGTGCTCTCCATAATGCACTCCTGCGGCACCTACGACTATTCCGGGCAGTTTGCCTTCAAGGTCGGCCTGCCGGCCAAGTCGGGCGTCAGCGGCGGCATGATGCTCGTTGTACCGAATGTGATGGGCATCTTTGTCTGGTCGCCGCCTCTCGATCAGCTGGGCAATACGGTGCGTGGGTTGCAGTTCTGTGACGAGCTGGTCAACACCTTCAACTTCCATCGATATGACAATCTGAAGCATCTATCGAATAAGAAGGATCCGCGCAAGCATCGCTACGAAACGAAGGGTCTATCGATTGTCAATCTGCTTTTCTCCGCCGCCAGCGGCGATGTGACAGCTCTGCGTCGCCATCGTCTGTCCGGCATGGACATCACCTTGGCCGACTACGATGGTCGGACGGCGCTCCATTTGGCCGCCTCGGAGGGACACTTGGAGTGTGTCAAGTTTCTGCTGGAACAGTGCCATGTGCCGCACAATCCCAAGGATCGCTGGGGCAATCTGCCCGTCGACGAGGCCGAGAACTTCTGCCACTCGGACGTGGTCGACTTCCTCAAGCGCTGGGCCGAGAATGCCAAGGATGCGCCCCAGGAGTGCATCACAGAGTCCGTGACCACCAAAACCGCCGCCGATGAGGTGCGTCGAAGGGCCTACTTTAGTCTAATATCAGCTAATGAATATTTATTATCCTTTCCAGGAGTTACCCTGCAATACAACCAGTCCCTTGCCCACAGAGTCCGAGCCCCGGAGCAGCAGCCCCGCCTCCTCGGAGGCGGGCAGCACAGCCAGCGTGGACAAGACCAAGCCGGGCCTCTAGAGACCTACTGACAACAAATTTACATATATACATATACATAAATATAACTGTAGAATCTCGCTTAAATTATTCGCTTAATCATCTCTAGTTAATATACAATTCTAGTTAGCTATCCGAACCCAGCATACATACCATAAATTATATACGATATATATAAAGAAATACCTATTTATGCTTCTCCGATCAAAGTGAACATAATCGGCATTTGTACTTTGTAGGATTTTAGATAAACATTCTAAGATCTGCCCATTGAAAGCAATGACAATAAGAAATGTATTTTAAAATATCCCACAGAGTTATCTTATATAAATACTTAAATAATATATTGTTATATACATATTATGTATATTATTATATAAGTATCATATATACACATAAAGTTATTTCCACCTGTGACTTGTGAACTTTTATGTATTACACAATTGTCAATTGAAAGTGTTTCTTCTCTTAAGTTCCTTTATCTACGTGTATAAATTAAATAAAACTTATTGAAATCTTAAAAATTGATTGTTTTCATTTGCCCGATCCCAGAGATCCCAATTCAACTCTATAATATAGCAGTCCTTGTTGGTGAGTTGTCTTTGCGATTCAGACAACCAAACAATTAGACTGCAGGTTGGAATCCTTAGAGGGTAAGTTGGTGCAGTCCAGCGTTACCAATGCTATTGGTTAGCTAGTAATATGCATTACTCATTATAGTAATTACATAATTATAATGAATTTATTATGCCAAACATAATTTGATATTATTGGGTCTAGTCTAGAAAGACACCAAAAGTCAAATTACTTAATATTTTGTAAGAGCCTCAATTCTGGTTCTTTATATGCTATTTTAACTAATAATTATAAAAGTAATAACAATAAAAATAATAATAATTACAATAATGATAATGATAATTATAATACTAATACTAATACTAATACTAATAACAACAATAATAAAAGATAAAATACTCATAATAATAATAATAATAACAATAATATAATTATAGTACTAATGCTAATAATAATAATAAAAACAGTGATAATAATTATAATACCAATACTAGTAATAACAATAATAATAATTATAATACTAATACTAAAAAAAAATAATAATAATTAGAATAATAATGCTATTATACATATTTAACAATAACAATAATTATTCTTCTAATACTAATAATAATAAAAATAATAATAATTGTAATACTAATTCTAATAATAATGCTAATAATATTAATAACAATAATAATAATTACAATACGAATGCAAATAATAATACTAACAATGATACCAATACTAATACTAATACTAATACTAATACTAATACTAATACTAATACTAATACTAATACTAATACTAATACTAATACTAATACTAATACTAATGATAATAATAGTTATAATACTAATACTAATAATTATAATACTAATACTAATAATTATAATAACAATAATAATAATTATAAAACTAATACTAATAATTATAATAACAATGGTAATAACTATAAAACTAGTACTAATAATAAAAATAATAAGAATGATAATAATTATAATAAAATGCTAATAAAAATAATAGTAACAATGATAATAATTATAATACTAATAACAATCATATTAATTATAATACTAATACAACTAATAATAATAATAATTCACATTGAGCCTCTAAAATGCACTCACTTATCAGAAGACCCGCCCAATGTTTTCAGCCTGTTTCCAACGCCTTCGTCCCACTGTCACGCAACGACACGAAGTTGGGTTGTTCGAAAACCCCCAAGCCCCAACCAACCAACAACAACAACATCGAACGAATTATTCGATGTTCGCAGCGCGTCGAACGCTGCCGGCAAACAATTTAGTTCGAGCGCAGCATTCGTGGCGAACGGAACGAGCGGCATTTGTGTGTATTTCCCGATTTTTGTGGCATCGTGCGGTTGCATATTTAGCTTAAAATGATAAATTAGTTAGTTAATCGCACTGCAACGGCATTCAATTAGTGAACATTTGATGGATTTACAAAATAAAGCTCATTAGTGAAAAGAAGCTTGGAATTTTGAATAGTTCGCAGTGCGCACTGTATAAAAACTTGGGGTAGGTTATAGTAAGACGACAAATTATTTGTATTGTTTGGCAGCAGAGCGAAAACAACAACAACAACAACTGCAGCAGCAGCATCAGAAATTGCCCGGACCTCTAACCATTTCCGGCAAGCCCCAAAGTTTTTTCTACCTCAAAAAAGAAAAAACTACGCTTAATCGGATTATTAAGTTGTGTATACTCTGCCAAAACGGAGCATAGTAACAGGCTTAACAAATTGAGCTTCTCTTTTATTTTTAACGATATTTGATTCATTAAAAACGCATCTATATTCATGAATACACCCAAAACGAACGCGTATATCCGTCGAACAGCCAAAGCGAACGCGTATATCCGTCGAATATTTCGACTTTTGTTATTGTCTTCAGATACGGATACGGAAACGGCAACGCCGCATTGCATAATGTGCAGTTTCCTACATCAAATTGGGTCTGCACTGATATATGTATATATGTGGGCGCCTACAAAGCCGACGCAATTGGGGCCATCGGGCAATAAGTGCTAGAAATATCTTTTATCTTATAATTCCCTCTCTCTCTCTCTCTCTCTCTCTCTGTGTGCAGTCGCCAATTGAGACATGGAATTATGTCTGTTTCCTCTCGGAATTTGTAGATCCAAAGATTTGAATATCTGACATGAATTGCATAGAGTGGATTATTTAGAGTGCAACATAAAAGCGCCCGCCAAGTCGAATATGAGGTTCAATTGAAGAGCTAGGAAAACCCTAGGATTTTGTACTCAAATAAAGTAATAAAGATCTAACACATCCGACAGAACTTTGCTCAAGAAGAATCTTGTCGGAAATTATTTTCTTAATCCCAATGATCCTAAAATGCAAATTCTTGTTATTATTTATTAATATTTTATGCTTAAATCAAGTAATATTCATCCATAACTTAATAATAACCAAGAACGAATCCTTTCACTTAAAATTCCACAACTACAAATTTCAGAAGGTCGTTTTTCTCATCATATTCTTAATCCCGATGATCCTAATATGGAAATTCTTATAATTATTAAGCTTATGCTTAAATCAAGTAAGATTCATCCATAACTTAATAATAACCAAGAAAAAATTCCACAAGTACAAATTTCAGAAGGGTTTATTCTTGAAGAAGAATCTTGTCAGGAATCCTTTTCTTAATTCCGATGATCCTAATATGCAAATTCTATTAAAATTAAAAATTAAGCTTATGCTTAAATCAAGTAAGATTTTTCTATTTTAATAATAACGAAAGATCACATTCTCCCACTGGAAATTTCACAAGTAGAATCAAGAAGAATCTTGTCAGGAAACATATTCCGAATCCTGATGCAAATTCTAATAATAATCCAGCTTATGCTTAAATCAAGTAATATTCATATGTAACGAATCGTTCCACTTGAAATTCCAGAAACATTTTAGAAAGTCCCTTTTCTCTTAGTGTAAAAGACTAATCAGAAATGCGCGTAATTCCCACAGTTTTCTGTGTTGTGTACACATTCGAGGAAAGTGTTAAACCCCCAATAATAATACTCAGGCAGCTCGATTGGGATAGTTTGGGTTGTTTTGGGTGGATGGATCAGCAATTTGTAAGTTGGAAAAGTGTTGTGACACAAATCAAGTACGGAATGGACGAAGGTAAACAAGGTAGAGGGACACTCCGGTACAGTTATAGGTTGTCCATTGGAAAGTGGCCAAGTCGAGCCTGGGAAATGGACACATGTCGATTATGCAAAGCGATTCGGAAGGAAAGCTCATGCATTTAAAGGAAAGTCGACCACAATATGCATTGAAGTGTCCATCAAATGTCTCCTGGGCTGAGTTCAATGAACTGCCAATAAATAGAACATACGTATGTGTACTTACGTATAATTATTGGTTTTCCCTTCGAAGTTTTTTTTTCTGATAGTATTAGTAGTGTGTGTGTGTGTGTGTGGGCCAGGCGAAGAGACTTCAATCAAAGTGCGACGCGAGGCGACATCCATGTCGGAAATTGGCGCTCTCAACGATTCTGGAGAACGCACTCGGACGTATGATAGTCAATTTTACACGTCGACTACGTCTGGCACAGCGCACAATAACAAACAAAAGACAGAAAAAACAAATTGAATTTCGACACACCGACACTTGTGTGCCCTTTAATGAATTGCACTATTGCCCACTGGCCATATGATATACATATCTATGAGCTGATATTCAGATAGTTTCAGCTCACTTTTACTTAGTTTTATTAAAGGACTTTTTTCTCGCACGTAAGGGTTATTCCCTTTTTTGGACTTTTTTCTCTCAGATACGATTTATTCCCTTTTTTGCTCAAAGTACTTTTTTCTCTCACGTAAGACTTATTCCCTTTCTTTGCACAAACTCCTCTGCCAAATTTTAGTATTTAGTTCAAATCTCACAGTTTAAAATATAGCCAAAAATGTTATAAAATTTAACAATGTACAGAATTGCATTGAATTACAGTTGTTTCAGTTCTCAGTTGCTTGAGCAAGAAATTGAACACAAGCTAATCATAAGCTTTGCTCCTTGGCGTCACAAAGCCAATCAAAAAGCTTAAGTACCCGAACTTGTTTTTCTCTTGAATGCAGCTCAAGTGCAATGCACTCAAATATGTTGATGCCGCATTTCTACCTTTGGGCACTCGCATATGACGAGCATTTTGTGCATGTCGCCCCATAATATCCAAAAATGAAACTAAATTTCCATTTTAAGCTTAAATACTATAAGGCAGCGGTGGGAGCGAGAAAGAGAGGGGGAGAGTGAGAGAGGGAGAGAAATTGGATCAGTTATCGGCAGCACTCGCTGCACAATTCATTCAACAATATGGCAGAGATTGCAGCTTCATTTCCATTCAGAGCGAATGAACACACACACACACATACACGAGCACACCCACACACACGCACACATGCAAACTTATTTATGTAGCTGTAGCGAATACACACACACACACACACACACACGCTTATTTATGTAGCTGGCAGCTACGTAATGAAAAGTGGCATATAACGGCGCCGCTATTCATCACCGCACAGAGAGAGAGAGAGAGGGGGGGAGGGGGATATAACAGCTCGGCCCAACCGCAGGCGAGAGGCTGAGATTTTCGCCGCCCCCCGCCATATTATTCCAGCGGCAGACCCTGCTGGATCCGTGTCGGAGTCCGTGTCCGCATCTGTCAGCAACAGTTCGCCACTTCTGACTCCGATTTTAGCTGCTACTAAATATTATGGAAAACATTTTTATGAGCTACAGATAAAAAGGCAAAAATAGGGGAAAAAAATAAGGCAAAAATAGGGGGAAAAATAGTCTGTTGGACAACAGACAACTGATAGACAACAGCTCTTAACGTTTCATCCTTTTGACAGGCGGCCAAACTATCAACAATTGATTGCCTTCACATGGATAGCAATTCGGTGAGTCCCCTGCCCCCGCTGGCCATCATGGAGAACGAGAAGACGCCGCCGGGCACGCCCAATGGCATTGAAATGCCGCCGCCGCCAGATGAAAAGTGAGTCCATTTATTAACAGAATGTATTTTAAGATATCCAAAATATAATCCCAGGCCTTAAATCACTGCTAATATGCAACACGGCTCCATAAGGTGTGATATTCTGGGTTATTTTTTGATTTCAGGTTAATCTTTGGCTCAACCCAAGACCAAAAATGTGCTCCTCATTAAAATCGATTGAGTTTTGGTAAAGTTCTGGTAATGGAAAGCTCAGGCATTTAACTTGGGGATTAAAATATTCAGAAGTTTTTCGACAAAAGATTGTCTTGTTAAAATTGAATGCCAGATTAATCTGGAGGTCAAACCAAGTTAAAAAAAAAGTATTCTTTATAAAAAACAGTTGAGTTTTGGCAAAGTTATAATAGAGAAAAGTTTGGGCAGAGTATGAAAATGTCAAGGAAAATTTAGACAGGGTATGGATAAGTCGAGCCTGTATAGAAAAAATCGTAGTGTTAGTCTTGTTTGAATATAGTTAGGCAGAAATATCATAAAGAATTAAAAAGTCAGTCTCCAAATTCGGATTATTCATATAAAAAAACAGATCGATAATGTGCTATATATACCTTCTGTCGGACCGCTTTTACAGGGTATTTGCAGCTATGTCAACACTTGTGTACTATTTGCCGCATATGTTTCGAAGATCTATTTGTTTTTTGTTCTGCTGGCGAATTAGGGAGACATTGCGCTCTTCCAGTCCATCAACTAATCAACGCAGTTAAAAAATAAATAAAACATAAATAAATATTTAAATAAATTGTGTCAAGTTGAATTTGAGACCATGTGGAGAGCGATAAGTGTAGCAATTGGCGTCGTCTAGCCGGCAATTGGGAGCTAAGTCCAACTAAGCCCAACTAAGTCCAGCTATATGTCCCGGCTACTGGGATCGGGAGCCTGCCTTGACCTCGTCAGGCGAGGAGCTGTCGTCAAAATAGGAGCTAAGTCCAGCTGGGCTAGTTATATGAGCTGGGATCGGGAAAATCCTGCCTTGACCTCGTCAGGCGAGGAGCTGTTGCCAAAATGGGAGCTAAGTCCAGCTAAGTCCAGCTAGGCCCAGCTATATGTCCCGGCTACTGGGATCGGGACCCTTCCTTGACTTCGTCAGGCGAGGAGCTGTTGCCAAAATGGGAGCTAAGTCCAGCTAAGTCCAACTAAGCCCAACTAAGCCCAGCTATATGTCCCGGCAACTGGGATCATGTAGATTGAAAAGCCTGCCTTGACCTCGTCAGGCGAGGAGCTAAGTCCAGCTGGGCTAGTTATATGAGCTGGGATCGGGAAAATCCTGCCTTGACCTCGTCAGGCGAGGAACTGTCGCCAAAATGGGAGCTAAGTCCAGCTGGGCTAGTTATATGACCTGGGATCGGGTAGAAGCCTGCCTTGACCTCGCTGTCGTCAAAATAGCTCGTTAAAACTGTGCACATTAATCGTTTGCCGTAATGGGACCAAGTGTAACCATTTACATTTGCCATAGAGCGACAAAAGGGAACAACAAGTTACGTATACGCCGCGTTATTAATGCACAGCATTTGGGCCACGCCCTTGCCTCAGGCGGGGGGGCGGGGCGTACTCCTTTCCTTTCACTACCTTTTTTTTAATGCGCCAATTTCCTAATCCATGTACGCGCTAGGTCGTAAATTCTATTTTAATACGAGCAGCTCGCAAATCACACACACGCACACACACACACGCACACACCTGTGCACACCTGCGCACACCTTTGCACACACATTCAACAGTTGATCGCGTGCCACATCCTTGTTTTCATTTTCTATTATTTTTTTTGTGTTTTTATCTCCTACCCCAAAAAAACTCTTTTGTAATTACGTACATATTTTGTGGAACTCTTCGCTCATTTCATTCGATTTGAAGCAATTTCTGGGCGCGCTCAGCCGAAAACGGAAAACGGAAAAGCGAAGAAAAACAACTGAATGCGAGCCGCGTCCATTTCTAAGGAGTTGCCCGTTGTCTCGTGCTGCTCACCTGTGCCGTGTGCCGTGTGTTGTGTGTAATGAGCACGCATTAGCAAGGTGTGTGTCCCTGTAATTACCGACCCGAATAGAAACGTGTCCCAGTTTCGTTTAGCATTTACAAACTTCATCAATTATTTATACACATTTGATTAGTTTGAGGGAACAGTGTCAGGCAGATGTTCTGATTGATGTCCATGTAGCTTTCATTTATTAATAAAATAAAAGTCGAATAGTTTCTATTAATAGAGCAGCAAATTAAGTAAGACCTCAATTGGACAACTCGTTTGTCATATTTCATATTAGAGTTTTCGAATGCTATCATGCTGTCAGCTGAAATTCATTTATAATATTTACAGAAACTGCGACTATCTCTTATAATGTTTGCCTAAAAGTCTCGAAAATTTATCAACAAGGTCACATGCGCTTGTTAAATGCAATATTATTATCTTAAGAGAGATATGCGTACACTTGAAATAATTGTTATAAAATCTGTGGAAATTGTTACCATTTTTCAAGCTGACATACAGTTATTTTAAGTGTGATTTTATAAAACACATTTAATTTTAATCAACAAAGTCAGCTTAAAACACATTTGAATATGGCGCCAAAGCTTGTTGCGGGTTTGTGTCTTCGCTCTGATCACACACGCAGTTTAACCATACACAACACTTTGAGCTTAGCAGTGCCTTTTTGAGCTTAACATGTGCTTAACAGCAGCATTGCATGCACAGGCTGTTGACGTTAATTTTGATTTTAAATTTGTCGTTTTTGGTTGCTTAATATTATTTATTTAGACAAATATATGTGTATATTGACAAATTACAAGAAGCTAAAATCAATGAATTTAGATTTTTTGTTTTGTTTGCAAAATCGAGTTCGTTATCAATTGAAAAGTAAAACGGACAAAAGCTTTAGCAGAGGCAGCAGCCATTTCTCTCTCGCGCCGGCAGATCCCACACCAAAACCGGCAGTATTTTCAGTTGGTTTTTCAGTTGTTCATTCGCTGTTGATCGTTAACAGACGTTGTTTGCGGCTAGCGGGCGTTATTTGAATATCGTGTGGAAAACAAATGTGTGTGTGTGTGCTTGTGTGTGTGCGTTTTAATTTAAGTGTTGTGTTTGCCAGAGAACAAAAGCAAACAATATAAACAAATAACCTTGCGATCTTTTTTATAGAAAGTGTTTAGTTTTCCTTTTAAAATAGATACAGCTGAGCTAGTTATATTGTCTTTCAATTAATGAAATCGAAAGTTGTCAGAAAATGGCATCACATTTGCATACACAACAACAAAAAAACAACATCAATCACGTTAATTAATGGAATAGATTACCTTCTTGAATATCTTTTGGGAACCGCATCCAAAGCGAAACTAAAACAATTTTTTATTTTCTAGAATTTCTTTTCCTTTTGTGCCCGACAAATTAACGTGCTGATTAGCAAGTCGATTCGCTAAATGTCTGATTGATATATATATATATATATATGTATATATATATATAGCGACTAAACAAATGTTTTAATTATTATTTAGTTAATCTTCCAGCCTCAGTCTCAGCTTCAGCCTCAGTTGCAAATCGAAACGAATTCAATTTTCACTTGTAATTTTTACAGCGCATACGCTAGAGAATATTTTGTGGGAAATTCCGATTTCGATCTCGATTTTTAAATCTATAGCAAAATAAACGCGCTGTGACGTATTAATTACGTATACGCCGTGTGCTCGCCGGTTTGCTTTGGCGCGCGAAAAAATAAGAAAAACAACAAACAACAACAAAGGGAAAATCTACATAAATTCGCTTAAATGCGCGATCGTCATTTGGGCAAAATGCCGCGTGGAGGAACGACAACAGCGTAAGTCTTAATACGACAAAGATTCTTCTTCATCAAAATAAACTTCATGTTGATTCAAGAGATTATACAACAATTAGTACGGAATTATATCTCGACTGTTTATTAGCATATCAAGGCTTATTTTTTTGCTGCTAATTGCCGCATATTTGAGACATTTCGACCGCCTAAAGCTCAGCTAAGACGGGAACTTATCTAATGGGAAATTGTGTCTGTGATGTGTAGAATATTATCGGTACAAATGTTGAAAATGATACCAAAATAATTTTTGTGTAATTCGTGCCAACTTCGCACATGTACAAAGGCAGCTCAATAGGCAGCTGTTATTTTTTTTTTTTTAAATAATCATAAATTAAATATTTGAACTGGCGATTTTCCGCTTCTTAGTTCGACTCTCAGACACCTAAGCTGGGCTATCTTCTGAGTTTATTCGGAGGTTAAATTCTAACATGAGGCTGGCAACTCAACAACTTTAATTTAAATATTTAAACTGGCGATTTTCCACTTCTTAGTTCGACCCTCAGACACCTAAGCTGGGCTATCGTCTGAGTTTATTCGGAGGTTAAATTCTAACATGAGGCTGGCAATTCAACAACTTTAATTTAAATAAACAAAAATAAAATATTTGAACTGGCGATTTCCTGCTTCTTAGTTCAACTCTCAGACACCTAAGCTAGGCAGACTCCTAAATTTACTTGGAGGTTAATTTCTAACATGAAGCTGGCAACTCAACAAACTCCCAAATTCACTTGGAGTCCAAATTCTAGCATGGACCTGGCAACTCAACAAACTGCCCTCTGCTTAAAAAGCCAGCTCAGAAACATTTAAATTGATAAATTATGTGCTGCTTTTGGGGGGGAGGTAGATACATATGACTACATATGCCGCTTTAAATAGAGTACTGTGAGCCAGGCTGCCTGGCTCTTGATTCGAATTCGAGCTAAATAAAAAAGGAAAGAGAGAAGAAATGTTTATAAATATGATAAATAAATACAATAATTCAATGAATAAATTGCAGGGCAACTGCCACACAGTGTCGCATTTGCGCAGCGTGTCGAGTTGTGGTACTGCGAATTTGATTGTATCTTTAAGATACAATTACCAGCACACACACACACACACAGACAGACACACACACCGACACATGCAGGCGAAACTCAAGCCGCAGGCCGTTTTAAACAAAACGGGGCAGCAACCGCACGAAAATGTTTCAATTGAAACTCCCCGAGACGGCGCTCAGTCCGTAAACAATTGTCGCCCATTGTAAAGCAACACCACAGACACACACGCACACACAGTTACACAGAGTTACACACAGATACATGTACAAGTTACACTTAGTTGTAGCTAAGCTTCGTTACGCGCACTTCATCATAATTAACCCGCAGGATACACGCACACATTGTGTGCGTCTGTTTTTCTTATTATATACCCTTGCAGAGGGTATTATAATTTTGTCGTTAAATATGCAACGCATAGAAGGAGACATCTCCGACCCCCTAAAGTATATATATATTCTTGATCAATTTCAAGTCGATATAGCCATGTCCATCTGTCTGTTTCTATACGAGTTAGTCTGTCAGTTTTAAAGCTATCTTTATGAAATTTTGCAGAAGTCCCTCTTTCTGTTGCACGCAGTAGATATGTCGGAATCAATTGAATCGGACCACTATATCATATAGCTGCCATAGGAACGATCGGCCGAAAATTAAGTGGTTATATGGAAAACTTTTTTGTTTTTCAAGATATCTTAACCAAACTCGGCATTTATTAGTTTCTCTATGTTCTTCATATATTTGCAAAATTCTAACAACATCGGACTACTATATCGTATAGCTGCCATAGGAACGATCGGTCGAAAAGTAGGTTCTTGTATGAAAAACTTTTTTGTTTTTCAAGATATCTTGACGAAACTCGGCATTTATTAGTTTTACTATGCTCTTCATATATTTGCAAAATCCTAACAACATCGGAGCACTATATCATATAGCTGCCATAGGAACGATCGGTCGAAAATTAAGTGGTTATATGGAAAACTTTTTTGTTTTTCAAGATATCTTGACCAAACTCGGCATTTTTTAGTTTCTCTATGTTCCTCATATATTTGCAAAATTCTAACAACATTGGACTACTATATCATATAGCTGCCATAGGAACGATCGGTCGAAAAACAAGCTGTTGTACGGAAAACTTTTTTGTTTTTCAAGATATCTTAACCAAACTCGACTTTTTTGAGTTTAACTATATTCCCTACATTTTCGCAAAATCTTATTTACATCGGACCACAATATCATATAGCTGCCATAGGAACGATCGGTCGAAAAGTAGGTTCTTACATGGAAAACTTTTTTTGTTCAAGATAACTTAACCATACTCTGCATTAACTATTTTCCCTATGCTTCTTAGACACGAGCAAGGGTATTAAAACTTCGGCGTGCCGAAGGTAGCCCTTCTTTCTCGTTTTTTTTTTGTTGAGGTTGATTTTCCGTCATGCTTGCGAGCATATGTTTTAATTTAGTTAAGGCTTAATTGTAGTTTTAATTCGCTTTAATTGAAATTGTGCCCAAGTTTCCTGCATGCCAAACACCTACTTAAGCTTCGTGTACTTACAGATACACACAGCGAGCACTTGCAGATACTTTTGTATCTGTAACTGTGCCGCATCAATAGTTGTATTCTTTATGCAGTTAAACGAGTCGCGCTCCAGTTTTGAGCGCCATCCATCAGCTGTTTTAACCATAATTAGCCCGCTTTCGACTGGGAGAGTTAACTGCCCAAAGACAACTCATATAGCTGGGCTCTCATTATGGCACAGTTGTTTGCACTACACTTGAGATACATTTGTATCTTCTGTGTGGAAATCACATGAGCTTATCACCTGCCACAAGATAAACAGCCAGATAAAAGCTGACGGACATTATGCTATTTGTACTTTTATACAATATATGTTTATAATTGAACAACCTTTAAATTGTTATCCTCGTTGTAGTTTTTTGAAAGACTAGGAAAATAATAAAAAGTATCTTGGAGATACAAGAGATGAAAATGACTTGCAGACATTTAGCAGATGTGAGATATTTTTCTCTCGATTATTCCTCGAGCTCTGATGTTGATAGGAGTGGCGAGTTTGGTCAAAATATCCGGGAATTAAATTTAGAAATAGGCAATACCTTTTTGATGATTTTTTGGAATATCTCGGCCAAATAATGTCCGATTTGGGAATTTTATACCATTTTGGACTCGCAAGGATCAGTACTATCGATTGGCATCAAAAAAATGAAAATATTGGTCAGACATAAAAATATATATACTTATTGGGGCTGCAGATGTCCGACCCATGACTTGGAGCTACAATCTATGGCTGATTGTAGCTGTGGCTGCTTTCGCCGGCTCTATGAAGATTGTTGCGGTTAAGGAACTGTCAGCTTAGGATTTGGATTCGGATTTGGATTTGGCGCTTTCCTTCATTAGACACGCCTGGCAACGGCACCAGGCAGTCTCCAGCCATGTCTGCCGCAGTTGTTGCTGCTGTTGTTGTGGGCGCAGTGTCAACAGCCGCAAATTGTTGCTGACCCATTAGCAACAATTGGCCTTAAATCAGCAGCAGGCACATTGAAAGCCATGGCTGCGACTGCGGCTCAGGTTCAGGTTTAGTCTGCACTTGCAGCTTGCAGCTTGCAACTTGCAGTCGACTATGTAAAACGAGTTGTTGCACAAACGCAGCGAAAAGCAAAAGCAAAAGCTTTTAGCGAAATTTTCCCAGCGCACAGTAAAACGAAAAAAAAAGTGAAAGAGCTGCACAGATACAAACAGATGCAGCTACAACAAGATGCAGATACAAGCTGCAGCGACAACAAGCTGCAGCTGCATGCAGCCCCCCTTCCCCCCCCTCCCCCCACCCACCTTCCCCTGTGGCTGCAACAACAATTTGTGGTCGTTGTTGCACTTCGGGCGGCAAGTGAAATGTGTGTTAAAAAGCAAAGGCCCTGCCCCCTCCTCCCACCCCACCCCCTTGTGCAATGTGTTGAAAACTAAATGCTGCAGCCTGCACCCCCCCCCCCCCGCCCCTCCTCTCATTCCCCTAGCCATAACATGTGGGGTATATGGTATATAGTATATATATATGTATATGTATAAATTGTTTATTTTGTTGCATTGGCCGTTCATTGACATCGCGCGCTCGAGGCATGCATCGACTGTCAGTGCAACAACAACAATTTCAGTGGGGCACAGCTAGACGGACGGGCAGACAGACGAACGGACAAACAGACAGACAGACGGTCGGTCCGGCGTTTGGTCAGACACTGACGGATGCCGCGGCGCATGTTAATTAAAGCGCTTATTACGAGTCGCGCGCGTATCACAAAATGATGCAAGTGATACAATGCAGTCCGTACCCCAAACCCAATTACCCCCTCCTTACCCCCCCCCCCTACCCCTCTCGACAGCCCCCTTTAGAAAGTGCGTGCTTAAATATGGTATTTAACAAGTTGTTGTTGTTTTTCTTAATAATACCCTATGCTCATTAGAAATGCTAGCGAGCATCTAGTTTTTCCGACTTTCTGTATGAAAAATTTAAGAGTTATCGGTTAAACAAAATCGATAAATATCGATCACGTTATCGGTTAAACCAAATCGATAAATATCGATCACGTTATCGGTTAAACAAAATCAATAAATATCGAACACGTTATCGGTTAAACGAAATCGATAAAAATCGATCACGTTATCGTTAAACAAAATCGATAAAAATCGATCCCGTTATCGGTTGAACAAAATCGATAAATATCGATCACGTTATCGGTTAAACAAAATCGATAAATATCGATCACGTTATCGGTTAAACGAAATCGATAAATATCGATTTATTATTTGTTATTTTAAGGCCTTATAAAAGCTACACACACCAAGGTCAGACTGTACGCGCTATAAGAGGAAATATCTGATTATAGACAATTATTGGAATGCCATCTTTAAGCCCAGGAGATTTCATACCAATCGAACACATAGTAATAATGGGGGGAGAGTCTAGGGTATTAGAGAGTCTAGCACGCGCAACTTTATCATTTTTACTTGATTTTTAATGTGTTTGGCTTTTGCTTTCATTATCACGCGGCGACCGATTTCTTTGCTCTGCGCACTATTAATTTAAATAATAATAATTTAGCTTGGCTTTCGTTTTGTTTTGGAATTGTTTTGCTGTCACTTCAAGTGCAACCGCAGTTGCACTTGGAAATGATTAACCAGCTCGTTGGCCAACAGCAATGCGCCTAATTACCACAGCTCCATCCAGCTGTAGCCCCCCAGCCCAGCCCCGCCCCCCTCCAGCCCAGCTCTGACCACTTGGCATCTCTTTTTATACCCTGAACCCATTCAAAGTGGTTAAAAGGGTATAATGTGCTTGTGCAAATGTAACAGGCTGGCATTTCCGACCCCATAAAGTATATATATTCTCGATCAGCATCAATAGCCGAGCCGATCTAGCCAAGTCCGTCTGTTCGTCCCTAAGGATCTCAGAACCTATTAGAGCTAGAGACTTGAAATTTTAAATGTAGGTCCTCCTAGTGCCCGCGCAGTACGAGTTGGCTTCCGTTAAGCGATAACTTAACTTAACTCCAAGTAATCGATAAAAATCGATATCGAAAACCTGTTTTTTGAGCAAATCTCGTTAATTATAAGAGCTAGAGTCACCAAACTTGACAAGTAGCTTCTTGAAGAGTTACTCTTTTAATTTTATAAAGATTTTATGCATTTGGTGTTGGTAGAATAGGGTACAGGGTATCCACTGGTCGGGAGCGCCCGACTAGAGCCTCTTACTTGTTCGTATCTGTTTTCTTGTGGCAGCTGCTCTTTGAATTGAATTTGTGTGATAAATCCCACAGTCCATCCCATTGGCACCCACAGCTCTTCGGCCTCAACAATGCATCTGTTTCGAAACTGAGATCATCGCAATTCTCGAATATTTTGTCATATGATCAGCAGCAGCAGCAGCAGCTCACGCAACATAATGACGAAAATGATATGAATAACAAATTTAATTGGCATCCAATTTCATATGAACTATATTCCATGAGATAGTCGAGAGCCAATTGATGGAGTTGGAAGCGTTCGGACAGATCTACAATATATGTAATAAAATAAATTCTTGGATTAAAATATAAGACATGAAAATTAAGCACAATTTTTATTCAAATTAAAGAAAGTTTTTCAACTTCTGTCAAATAACGAAGAAATATTAAGAAAAAAATCTAAAAATAAATAAAACTCTATTTGATAATTTTTCAAAATGCAAATTTGCCCAACTCAATGGGCAACATTAAAGCGAACCAAATAAAAAAAAAGGGAGTTAAAAAAATTAAAAACCTTATTAGAGTTGAAAAAGTAAGAAATATTGCTGCTAGAAATGCTTGCAAAGATCTAAGAGACAAGATAGAGCTGACTGGCAATTAACTTTGACCGGGCAAATGAGATAATTGCGAGTACAGTAGTACCCCATTATGATGACCGCAGAAAAATATTTGCTTTATAAATCAATTAAGCCAGATTAGAGCTGAGTTTTCAATTAGTCTATGGTTGAGTCCAAGAGAAATTTATGTAATTATGTAAACGGAGGGACGGACAGGGAGACAGACAGAGAGACAGAGACAGACGGACGGAGACAGACAGAGAGAGAGAGAGAGAGAGACGGACAGAGAGACGGACAGAGAGACAGACAGAGAGACAGTCAAACAGAGAGACAGACAGAGAGACGGACAGAGAGACAGACAGAGAGACAGACAGAGAAACAGAGATAGACGGATGGAGACAGAGAGACGGACGGACAGAGTTACGACTGAGAAACTCGGACTGATAATTTGCCAGACTTGAGCTGCAATTATGCAATAAAGACGAGCACATAATTAAATGAACTCTAATATATATGTATATATATGCCATATAACAGATCAGGTTTAACTTGGATAAATCAGATACAATATGGATATGATAAATAACAGCTTTATCGACAAACTTAATAATGCGATACGCGGAAAGCCCAAACGAAAGTAAATTCTTAAAATATCACAAACTAAACTTACACGATTTGATGTGCTTGAATTTTTCAATTGCAGACGCTATGAGGAGGATCCGGATAATGCGTGGAACTGTTGTTCCTGGTGTGAATATCTATTGATTGTCATACTCTCGACAATACTCCTGGTGGGCGTATTGATCCTGACGCTCTTCTGGGTCATGTTCTATCGCGGCGGCTTCGCCTGGACGGAGCGACCGCTGCAGCAGTTCAATTTGCATCCCATCCTAATGGTCGCCGGCTTCGTGACGCTCTCCGGATTTTGTAGGTGCCCCCCCCCCCCCCCCCCCCCCGAAAATAATTGTCTCTAGATGAACTCTAATTGAGTTGTCTTTTGCAGCGATTTTAATTTATCGTCTGTGCCGTTGCGTGAAGCACATCTATGTGAAGCTGATTCATATGTTCTTTCATGCCGTTGCGATACCCTGCATTGCGCTCGGCTTCCTCTCCGTCTTCGACTCGCACAACGTATTGCAAAAGGTCAACTTCTACAGTCTGCACTCGTGGCTGGGCTTCGTCACAATGGGCATGTTTCTGCTGCAATTCGTAATTGGCTTCTTCACGTAGGTGTTGGATTATTTTTTTATTATCTTCTCTAATTACGTTTTGGATTTGCCAATTTAGTTTTCTGGTGATGCTCTGCTGTGAGAACAAGACATATAGCTGCCGCTCCGCCATGGTGCCCATACACGCCAGCCTGGGCTTGGCCAATTTCTGGCTGGCCATTGCCACATCCGTGACGGGCATTATCGAGAAGGAGCGCGAAACTGCCAAGGATCCAAACTTGAGGTGCGTCCACGTATGCTATAAATGAAACAGATTAATATTATTATTGTTCTTGCAGTGCGGAGAACCAACTGATTGAGCATTATATAACGAGCGCGATTGGACTCACCTTGGTCGTGATTGGCATCATTGTCACCTTTGCCGTGCGAAGGACCAACGCGCCGGCATCCGCCAAAGTCTATGTCACCGAACGCATTTAAATGGGCCACATTCATACTCTGTCTCGGTGCATAAACTGTGTGCATAATCGCAATCAAAATTTGTTACATCCAAAATCTCTTGTCTGTGTGCAGCACAAACGATTAAACACGCTTCAGCATACTCTTCATAATTATATATATACATACACTAAAACTAAACTTTATGCCAAATCAAAAGAATCTTTACATAAATCAAAGCTAAACCTTTCGCTATCAGAATGCCAACTTTTGCTGCTAAGTAGTTGTAGGTATAGGAATCTCTCATTGCAACAGATAAATTGGAAATTTACACAGATTCAAAAAAGTATATATATATATGTCTATATAATAGGAACTAGAGGACCGCCCAGCCCAGACCAAGCGTTAGAAATTACAAAATACAGAAACCGTATACAGCCGAATTCTTAGCCAGTTTTAGACATTTTTACACTTACAACCGAAAATACTATTCAATAAATATATATATTACTTATAAAGTGTATAAACTTTACACAAAACTAAACGTAGTTATTTGTCGTCGCATTTGATGTTCTTTTTTTGTATTTCATAAAACAAAGCTAAGCAATATATAAGTTGTAAACGCAACATTTTACAATTACTATATAATAAATGATCTTTCTATTTATTACATATAAAAAAAAGCTAATACAATCTTTTATTTCAAATGCTCTTCGGGCAAATAGTTGTACTAACTGCACTTGTCGCCCTTGAGCTGGGGCAGACGCAGTGCGCGCTTTTTTATAAGGATCACATTCTGATTGCCCGATGATGGCGGCGGCGCTTGTCCAGTTACGAAGATTGTGCCATTATTGGAGCCTATGGAGTAGACGCTGACATTCTTCGGCGCCCGTTTGCCGCTGCTGACGGGCAGGTCAAAATTGCGAACACGCGGCTCCGGCTTGGGATTGTCATGCAGGTTTTCTATATCTAGCTTAAAGGGGGAGACAAAGTTGCGTATCCAGGGCTTGGGCTGCAGCAGCTCACGCTCCAGATGGGGGCTGAGGGACATGCGTTTATCGGTCGCCTTTCGATCTTCCGGCGTTGGTTTCTTGCGCACATACGTCAGATCCGGCTCAAAAGCGGGCACTTCTCCCTAAAAAGCAAACATTTGTAGTCCCTCACTGGGTTAATCTTATTTGTGACTTACCATGCAAACGTGCAGCTTTTGTGCCTTGGTGTTGTCCGCGATTAGGAGTCCACATTTACATTCGACATAGCCGTGTAGTCTGTATATAGGTCCGATTTTCTTAATGCTAAAACAGCGTTTAACGTGCGCAGTTAGATTTTTAAACTTATCAATAGATCTGCCACAGCTTGGGCATGTCGCTTCATTCTTAATTTCATTTACAGTATACCAATAGGTTTTCCTATCTTGCAAGAAGCTGAATTGGTTCTTGGTGACCTGTGGAAAGATGAAATTTATCTGTATTTAGGATGGAAAAATGCAGTTGAAATTCTTACCGTGTTTTCCTCTTTGCTCGACATTGTTCAGCATTTATATTTCGATGAGTTGTCCGGTTGGATTATTAAGACACCTCCAATGGCAGTTTGGAACACAACGTAATACTACTCAAGAACTTGTAGATTAATTTTGTTAATTCTAACAGGTTCCAGCATCCATGCAAATTTTAGTCACATTGTTTATGTTTGCCGAACGCGTCCGCAAATCCAGTTGCAAATATATCCAATTGATTTGCAAATGCTAATGCTGTTAACTGGGCCGACGGTAACTCAGCAGTTGATTAATATTTTGTATAATTGAGCATAAAATGCTTTTTGTTGATATTCATGCTTAAATATGCTTAAATTTATTAGGAGCCATTGCCGATGCCTATTAAATAAACTATTGTGAACCAGCTTACATTTTTAATCAGCTTGCAACACTACACATATCGACTGTCTATCGATACAACTATTAGCCGCCTATCGCTCGCCCACCACAAACTGTCTCAACCAGAAAACATAAAATTACAAATTATTTAAAAGAAACAAATGTAAAATACATTTTATATTGGTTTTGAAGAAAACGCTTAAAAGGCCAAATACGTTAAAGCCAGGACAATATAAATAAATTAGAAATAATTGTTTACTTCGGTATTTTAATAAAAGAGTGTCTACATATGTATATAAAAGTTTTGTAGGAAAACATGGGTAAGTTGTTTGAAGTACAAGCATAATCAAAATAAAGGGAATGTATTTATACTCTTACTTTGTCTTTGGCCAGATGTGCCAGCGCCCGACGCTTGCCTGCTATGCCTGGAGGAAAATGCACTCAACCTGGATGATTATCTGGATGTCTATTCCGCAAAGGGCGCCCAGCTGAATGTGGTGCAGATAATCAACAAACACTTGCCCATGCAGCTGGCACAGAGTAGTGGGGAAACTCGGAGAATCTGCTCGCTATGCTGGAGTACTCTTTCCGCCTTCAATACGCTGCACGATTTCGTCAGCGCAACGCAGTGTTCGCTGCGAGAGACAAAGGTGCTGCTCATGGAAGATGACCCGCTTACCCAGGGCAATTGCACGGAGGCGCCCAAACAGGCTGCGGATAATGCCAATCCAGATCCGGCCGAGCTAAATGATCGCAACTTCTTCTATCCGGAGGTTAAGATAGAGGAGCATGAGCTGGAACAGCTGCCCAAAATTGAGGTGCTCGAGAGCACCGCCGGCCTCCAAACTGTCCAACTGAACTCCTCGCCGGGCAGACGTCTTCGCAAGCGTGTCAAGGCGGAAGTTGAAGCTCCACATGCCCAGATCGAATCCATAGAAGTTATGGCACATGAACCGGCGGAGACGCCAAAAAAACGTCGTGGGCGACCACGGAAAAGCGAAACAATCCTCAAAGAAACCCAAAATGAAGCGCAATCTCAGTCAACCTTAGATTTGGACACAAACCTCAAGTCGGAAAACGCGGCCGAATTTAGTGACGATGATGATCAGGACTTTGGAGGCCAGCTCGACGAGGGGCTCGACGACGACGACAGCAGCGAGGAGAGTCCACAGAGTGACGATGATTCCGATTTTACGATGGACAAGCCCAGCGAGATTGAGTTTGCCGTCATACCGAAGCGTACGCCGGTGCGGCCCAAGAAATATAAAAAGCGTGCCAAGCCGGCGGAGCCGAGAGTGCGCATGTCCCGCGAGCTGCTCGATCAGCGCAAAAAGCAGCAGGAGGAATTCGACAGCATCATTGCCAAGTTCTTTAGCGATGTGTTGCCGTGTTCCATATGCAATCTGTTGGTGCACAACTTTACGGAAATGCAACGCCATCATCGCCTCACACATCAAGTGGATCCTGGCTATATGATCTGCTGTGGCCGCAAGTTCACGCAACGCAAAGTGCTCGCCGAGCATGTGCTGGTCCATTGGAATCCGGACCACTTTAAGTGCACCACCTGCGACAAGTCATTCCAAAACTCACGGCACTTGGAGTCGCATCAACAGGTGCACGTGGCCAAGCTAACCTACCAGTGCGATCTATGCTCAAAGGCTTTCCTCAGCAAAACCGCAATTGACTACCATAAGCTAAACAAGCATGTGCCCAAGTCTGAATTTAAATTCACCTGCACCGAGTGCAACAAAAAGTAAGTAAGATCCCCGCCGGCTCAACAAAAGCTTATCTAATGGTTGTTCCTTTTGCAGATTCCTGACCGAACGCAAGCTGAAGAATCATATGAACTCGATGCACGATCCGGAGAGCATTATCATATGCGACAAGTGCGGCAAACAGATGCGCACCAAAATCATTCTGAAGAAGCATCAGGAACTGATGCACTCAAATACACCGCGACCGGAGCCCGAGTTGAAGCAGTGTCAAATCTGCGGCGCCTGGCTAAAGGGCATGACCGGCCTGAAGCAGCACATGAAGAGCATACATGTGGAAAGCGCGGGCGAGCATCGTTGTCATGTGTGCAGCAAGATTTCCCCGAATGCACGCGCCCTCCGACGCCACATCTACCACAAGTAATGTCTAGTTGTGACCAGATTTAATCGTAGTGCTAATTATATTCTCTTCTCAATGCAGCCACGAATGCGAGCGCAAGTTTAAGTGCACCATGTGCGATAAGGCGTTCAAACGACCCCAAGAACTAAAGGTCTGCGCGAACTACACAATTCCAAATCAAAGCAAACTCTAACTAGAATATTTTTCTGCTTCACAGGAACACACATCCACGCACACGGGCGAAGTTCTTTACACCTGTCCAAACTGTCCCATGACGTTCTTCTGCAGCGCCAACATGTACAAGCATCGGCAGCGGCTGCATCGAGCGCAATACGAGGCGGACAAGAATCAGCCAAAGCCGCCCAATATACTGCAGCAGGCGGTGGGCGCCACGGCGGCCATGAAGATCAAGCTGATGCAGAACACAAATGTGGCCAGCATAGAATCGGACTTGAAGCATTTCTAGATCAATAACAATAAGTTATGTGCACTTAGCATTTAGTCTACATGTTTAGCTTTAGTCCTAGCCTATCTCTTAGTTGTGTACTGTTAAGCTAAAGAAAAAAGAGTAAAGATAAGTCGATGTCGACGCAATTTTGGTACACGTTAAACTGTTTCATCTATGGGCTGTTCTGCTTTTCAGCTGATCTTAAGATTCTACTTTACCATTAATAATTATAATATTTCTGTGGGCAATTGAAAACAAACAAGGTTGGAATGTCTTTCTTTCTTTATAATTATTTACAAGGATGGCTTAACGGCACCTTATATAACGCATTGACATTTACATATTTTAATAATGCATAAATTTAAAATATATATGTATACATATGTATATTTAGAAGATACTGCGTTTTGTCTCGATTTTATAATTGTTTCTCTTATTTTTTTTTTTGCTTTTTTTGGGTTCCCTTATTTTGTTAACACAATTAGATTTTGATGTTGTAGCAGTAGCAAACATTGAAAATATATTTAATTTAAATTTACATACAAATATTATTGTTCTTTTATTCATTAGATTCTCCTTTAAATTGGGCATAGATAAGTATTTATTTATTTATAACGTGGCCTCATCAGCAATTAATTTTCATTCGGTTTTAAGTTCTGTTCGATTTATGCTTAACTTTCTTAGACTGCACAACTTACAAGAAGGGATTTAAACAGTTTCTCAGCTTTATCATAGCGAATTTGGATTTGCAATAAACTCTCGATATTTAGGCAACATTTATAAATACAATACTTTCGTTTTAGGGTTTTTGTATTTGCAGAGGAAATCTCATTGCATTAATATGTTTTGGTTAAATCAAACTATTTGCGACACCATTTATGCTTATAGTTATGAATTTAGTTTAACAGTTGGTTAAGTCGGGGGAAGTATGCAATTTAGGTTAGTTACAGGCACAAAAACAAGACAGGTAAAAACAAAATCAAAGGTAAATCAAATATTTATTTGTATTAATAATAATATTATTGGCTCATTTAGTGACAATTTACGAAAGCTTTTCTTTATCAATTAACTAAATATGTGTGTGTATTTCTTGCAAGAACAAAGCACAATTAATATTTGTTTTAAACAAGGCCAGAAAACAAAAAAGAACAAAAAATACTGTTTATAACTGAAGCAGAACAACAAACGTAAATAAAAACATAAACTTTTATGCAGTTTCTTTTAATGTATTTTGCATTAGTTTTGCGACTTGAAATTGTTCTCGAAATTTTCTTTAGCTTCTCTTACGCGCGTTTTTTATTTAAACTTATGTTTTTTTAAGTTGAACTTGAAACGGAATTGTATGAACGCGTAACATAAATAACAACAATAATTATATAACAATGACTAAAAATATTTATAGTTAACTATTAATTGTTTGCGTGTGTTTTAATATAGGCGTGGCAACTGTTGCTGTTGTAGTTGTTTTTGGATTCAATGAGCAGGTTAGATTTAAGTTTAGTCAGCGCCCCTTTTTTCGGGATCTGCCGCTGAATATAATTTGCATATTCAATTATTAATTTTTGCTGTATTTATTTTTGCGTGGATGTGTGTGTGTGTGTGTGTGTGTGTGTGTGCGATGCAGAGGCATGAGAGCGGCCTCTTAAAGCTTGGTTTGCTCAACCATATCGATGTTCACCTTGTAGAACACATAGGGATAGTATTCGGACTGGCCAAAGCCCAAGCCGGGTATGTCGACATTCTGCAAGAAACATCAAACATTAATTAATAAGTGTACAGAGAGTGGAATGGAGTAAATCTTACATCAGCACTGCTGACTTGTCCGCCAGCGGATGCGCCGTCCAAGTGGCCATACAGCTGATTGAGGACATCGCGCAGACGCTTCACGCTCTTCTTGTTGGGCTCAATCAATATGGCCTGGAAGTTGACCGGCAGGCCGTATCTGGATGGAGCATAAGATTAACTAAGACCACAGCTAGCATTGCTAATGGATGCGTTGCCTACCTCAGCACGGATTCCACAAAAACGCGCAGCGCTTTGACGTGTATCAAGGCGCAGAAGGCCTCGCTGAAGTTCACCTTCAGCCAGCGCACCAAGGGGCCCTGAAATACGTTAATTAACAGAGAATTATTTGATGTATAATTAAGTTTTTATTGCTACGCACAAACTGCTTCTTCTTGTCGGTCATCAGCTTGGTCATCTCGTTCTTGCCCGCGGCGAGCTCCTCCTCGTTGTAGACAAAGTCGCGCACTATGAACTTGCGCTCGCGTGCATGCAGCTTGAACTCTTCGGTGACCTTCTTGAAGAGCGTCACATTGAAGAGGCAATAGTCGGGATCCTCCTTGATCAGCTGCGACGAGCGCGGCACAATCATGTCCGTGATTTTCTCATAATTGGCTAACCAATCGTTGGCCATGGTTCTAAAAGAAAGTTTGGAACATGAGTGAGATAAGCATAAAGAAGCAAGGCTGCAAAACGGTGCCGCATCTAGATCCTGCCTGGCTTAGGGATCTGAGGTAATCCTTGGTTTTGCAGCCCTGTTAACATAATGGAAGGGTATCTCCCGCTCCACTTACTTTGGCACAATCACCAGCAGCGTGGTCAGGTACTCCGAGTCCAATATGAAGTGCTCCTTCTTGACCAAATCCGCCAGGTTGCGGGTCAGCAAGCTGCCACTGTGTGTGAGAGAGAGAATAATTAGAGATTGCCTGAATCATTAGCTAGGATTATGCTCGCTTACGTTTTCTTCTTCTCCAGGTTCTGTAGATTGCCCTTCAGATTGTTGTAGGCCTGCGACTTGGTCTTCAGATCGCCATCGATTTGGCCAATTTGCTTGGAAATGATGTCGGCAATGTTGCGCAACGATTGCTTAATCGGATACTTGGCCATGTCCCATTGGAAACGCGTTAAATACTGCGGTAGTTCGGCTAATTGTTTGATTTGAGAACGGAAAAGGGAATTAGTTGGCTTTGGCATTGATAAACTTGTCCGGAAAAAATTAAATTAAAAAAATATTTATCTATTTATTTTCTGTTTTTTCTTGTAATTAGTATAAAACAAACTGAGTTAGTTTCGAAATCATAAACAACAAAGTTAAGTACGTAATAAATATTGCTCAGACAAGATAAATATATAATATATATAGACAAACACTTATACAAGACACACACACATACACACACACTCACACTCACACACAAACACACACACATTCATTTCACACTTGACTTTTACACACATGATTTAACAAATACTACAACGTTCAGATAAAGATTAAAATATATAGACATATATAACAACGACATAAATAAGGCAATTAACAGTCAGGCAAATGTTAACAAAAACAATTAACTAAAATTAGTTAGTCAGCTAAGCAATTCAGTGCGTAGTAAAGCTATTAGTTAAGAGCTCGACAAAGGCTCTGTCAATTATTTGTCGAATTGTTTCTTTAGGTCTACTTCTTATAGGGATATTAATAGTGGGAAATCTATATCTAAGATGTTCGACATTTTACAACACTACGCAAAAAATACTTTTTTAACGATCGTTCCCATGGAAATTATACTATATACGAACCCGATACAAGAACCAGCCGAAGTCAGTAAATTATTATATTTATTAAATAGTTTCTTTAAATCAACTCTTTATAGGGATATTAATATTTTCAACACTAAAAAAAGCTTTTTAAACGTTCGTTCCCATGGAAATTATACTATATAGTAGTACGATATTGTTCAGAATTCTATTATTATTTAAGAGCCCGTCAAATTATTTGTCGAATCGTTTCTTTAGATCTACTTTTTATAGAAATATTAATAGTAGGAAATATAAATCTTAGAAGCTCAGAAATCTTTTACAACACTGCACAAGAAATGCGATCGTTCCCATGACAGTTATATGATTATGAAAGGTTAGTCAAAGTTACAAGATACGACAGCTAATAAGTCATAAGAAAGTACAGTTGCCTCGGCTTGCCAACACTGGAAAATCCAACTAACACTACTAATCCCAACTAGATTAATTAACACTGAATTGCTTTTGAATTGCTTGCAATAAGAAAACCAAATAAAAAATAAGCAACGAGAAAAACGGGAGAACAATGAAATAAACTACGCATACAAGAAGGCTACGAGTTGCTAATTAGACTCTAGGTTAGGGTATCTATAGAGTTCGAGGTACAGTAAAACAATTGTTATTATTATAGAATTAGAAGGAATAACGAGTACCTTTCGCAACACATTTCAAACGGCACAAAATATGTTAGCTGACTTTTTGTATGGCTTGTGTATAATTGGGTAATTCAATAAGCTTATACGTAGACACTTAAATGCAAATCAAAAGCGTAAATATAAATAAAAATAGGGATTTAATTAAAGTATATCTTAAATAAACAAATAAATCTGTGTGTGTAATATTTAGCTTAATGGAAATCGGCGTTAATCGTGGCTATTATATTTGCGCAGCAGAACAACATTTTTGGTGAGTGGCAGTACACTGAAAGAACAACATATTCGCTTTTACACTGTTACAAAATAATTTGGTGTATTTATATAGTTAAGGAAATCAGGTGACGAGAGCCACATAAAAGCGGCTCGTTAACTTAAAAGAAAATCGAACTGCAAAATAGTAAACAGAGAAAGAAAGACTTGGAACTGTATAACAGTTGTATAACAGTTGTATAACAGGTGTATAACACTTATGCCGTATAACAGTTAACCAATTCCGGGAGCTTTACGTGATGGTCAGAAAATAGCTGTAGATATACATAGGTGGGGCACGAAAAGTGAGAAAGGAAATAACAACAGGAAAATCGAAAGGAAAAGTCAACGGAAAAGCGTTATACAAAACGAAAGTGTAAGAAAAACAAACAGAGCAACGTCCAAGGGCCATACTCTATATATATATCATTATATATATAAACTTTTATTATATATATTTGTATATATATAGATGGGGGCCAGGCATGCTAACCTGGACTCAGCGGAAATTCGGGCGGCTCGGCATGATCCGTGTCTGGACTGGAACGACCCTGGCTACTACTGCCACAACAACTACTCACTGGAGACGATCTATGAGTTGGTGTTAAATTAAATCCATTGTTTATATTTAATTGAGACGGTGTAGAACGTTTGCTATAAATTTGATCGGCAAGAGAATTGAAGAAAGAGCGATAACTAGAGCGCGGTGTGGGCGATGTCTGATGCCAAAATGCAATTGGTTTGAATTGTGTCTGAAACTGTGATTGTTGTTGTGTTTGTGAGTGTGATTGTGCCTGTGTCTGTGGTTGTGTCTGTGTGCTGTGTAGTACAGTGTAGGTTGTGTGTTGTGTGGTGCATTTTGATGGGTGGAATGTGAGTCATGATTGATTTAAAAAAAGAAATACATTATTATTGCAATCTATTTGTGGAAATTTGCTTCTTAATGAAATCAAACATTTATGCATGAGTGGGAGACAGACAGAGAGAGAGAGAGAGAGAGAGAGAGAGAGAGAGAGAGCGCAGGCAAAGCGGGTGCATGTTTTTGTGTATTTTTTGTTTTTTACAGTGTATTCTGTGTCTGTGTATTTGTGTGTCTGTCTGGATGACTGCAGCTCTGTAGCACGCCCGAGAGTGTTGCGTTTAGAGCCCTGCATCGAGCCAAACGAAACGCGTTTCCGAAACTCGAACAAATGTTTCGGTCGAGCGGGGCAAGACTCGCGTTCGAGCTGTTCGAGTTGCAGACAAAAAAAATGTACTCGTTCGATTTGAACAACAGTTCTGTTCGATCGAACATGCTTCCAACTGTGTTCGATCGAACATGCTCCCAACTGTGTTCGAAATCGAATTTTATTCGAGCTCGAACTGTTCGAGTTGCAGAAAAAGAATGCACGAAACTTTTGTTTGATCGAACACGCTCCAAACTGTGTTCGATTGTGTTCGAGCGAGTGTTTATACATGTTTGCACGATTATATTCTTCCGTAGCTTAAACATGTTGCCGCTTCGAGCAAGTCGAACTTCGTTTAAGGAATATCTTTAGGTTCGATGACTTGTATGTTCGAACACAACTTAGTTCGATACAAGTTCGAGTCTTTCGGTTTTCGTTTGAATCGATTCAGTATTCGAGTACGCATTAACCGATGCAGGGCTCTAGTTTTGGATGATTGCGTGGATTTTGGGCATTTAGCATAGTTTTCTGTATAGATTTTTTTTTGGCTGGTGCTTTTTTTGGCAACTGTTCTACAGAATAGATAGAAATGCGTTTCAAAAAGATACCTGGACTTCTTAGAGTTACGCTTTGGCTTATTGAACCACCAGTCGAACGTTTCGGATAACGAGGAGGCGCTATTCGGACTCTTTGGATCGTCCAGTTCGACATCCTCGTCCGTGTCGCAACTGGACTTGGCTGTGGGCGATTGCAGCGGCGAGATCGACGAGCAAGCGCCCAGTTGCAACTGTTGCAGGTGTTGCTTGGGGGATTGTTGTTGTTGTTGTTGCTGTTGTTGCTGCTGTTGTTGTTGGCTGAGATGGGCGCTGCTGCTACGAAAGCTCAGCTTGTTATTGTTTATGCTGCAAGTATTGTTATTCAGCTTTTTGCTGTTAGAGCGCGACATGCTGCTTTGCACCGAGCTGCTGCTGGCAGTTGGCGCCGACGTTGAGAAATAAGCCGAAGAGGAGCAGGAGCTCGCCTTGCCATCTGTTGCACCTGCTGTTGCACCTGCTGTTGCACCTGTTGCTGCTGCTGCACCTGGGCTGCTCATGCTGCCGGTGGCAATTGCAGTTACCGTATTTATCGCACAGCGCGTCGCATTCAGCATGGAGGAAGCGGTCTGTGTGTAACATTCATCGGCCACCAAGGTGCTCGCCGTGCAGCTGCTGCTCAGGGCGAAGCATTCATCGCAGGCACAACCGGACGGTATCACAAAGTCAAAGTCATGCTCGGATTCGTCCTGCGTGCTCGATAAATTGTTCAAGCTGCCGCCCAGCTGGCAGGCGGTGCAGGCGGAGGCGGCGGCGGAGGAGGCGTGGCTGGCAGAGGCTTGCGCTTGGGCGTGGGCGTGGGCGTGGGCATGCGGCATGTTGTGGATAATATTGGTAGTAGTTGAAGCAGTTGCAGTTGCAGTTGCAGTTGCAGTTGCTGTTGACTTTGCTGTGAGATTGTTGTTGGATTTACCCTTGAGATCCGTGGGCAGCTGATGCAGATGGTGGGCATGGTAGTGGAGCGGATTGTTCTGGTGGTGCGTGTGCTGGTGTTTGCGCTGATGCCGCAGGCTCAAATGCTTCAAACGCTGATGATGACGACACGGCATGCTCTCGTCGGGCGGGCCAGGACCTGGGACCGCAATTTCGGGTTGCAAAATTTGGAGTTGGAGGTTGGAGTTCAGGTTGAGTTCAGGTTGTTTTACACCGATTAAAATAAACGCAGTTGCATACTTTCTTTTCTTACAGCACAAAGTTTGCTTTCAGTTTTTTTCGGGGTGCTTAAAAACTATAGCATACATTTTGGGGCTATGCCAGAAATGCTTCAATGGGCCTCTAGTTATATATATGTAGTTATATTGAGATCAAAAAAAAAATATACTTTTTCGATATTCGATTCGATTTGATATTTGAACCAAAGCGAAGAAAGTAAACAAAATTAAAAAATATATATAATAAGAAAAACAAATTAAGAGATGAACTGAAATTCCAAAAATTAAAATAAATTTGATATATATATATATAGAACTATATATATGTGTGTATATTCAAACTCATGTGTCGGAGGGGGGGAGAGGGGGGCCGGAAATTGTAATTTGTAAACCAATATATAATAAAAATATAGATGTACATAATTTCATGAACAACAGTGGAAGGAATGTGTTGTGTGTGGCAAGAGAAAATTCACATATTTTTTTGTCCAATTATTTTCTCTTCAATTTCAACTTTTTGTGGGGCAATTCGAATATCATACAAAAAAATTAAATCAAATTTTGTACAGTGTAAAAGCGTTATATATATCATCATTTTTTTCTTCTCACAACTACGGCTAAAAAAAGCATGTGAAGCACACACAAACACACACAGACACACACACAGATATACACAAACACAGTGAAATGAGTGCTAAACAAATATTAGTAACAAAATGCACAGTTAATATTATTATATAATTATCATAGGAGGTGAGAGCGAGAGAGCGAGAGAGAGAGAGAGAAAACAATGCGATGCGATGTTTTACTGTTAGCAAAAGTAAAGCTCGAACAACAACACAGCACACACACGCACGCACACACACACACACACACACACACACACAAACAGACACACACACAGAAAACAGTTTTTGAATTTATTTATATTTTTTTTAAGACGCACGCACTTAACTTAAGTAAATCATAGCAAAAGAATAAGAAGTTTAACCGAAAAAAATGTTGAAAAAGAAAAACTGAAAAGGGAAAAGAACACACGCGCTTTTCTTTCTTCAATGTCTTTTCTTTTACATAAAGAACAACTGATCATATTCAAATATATATATATTTATGCACTTATGATATACTTCTTTTTTTTTAATATTTTTGATTACTTTATGAAAAGTTGAAGAATTTGTCTGCTTTTTGCGCAAGTTACACTTTTTCTTTTTTTTTTGAATGATTTAAAAACTAACGAAATTTTGGTGAATTGAACAAGAAACGAGAAAAAAACAAATATATTGAAAGATAATAAATCAAAATTTACAATATTTAAGTAATTCATGTAAAATATACAAAGTGTTTCTTGTTTTGGGTAGGCAGAGCCAAAAAAAAGGGCGCTTAGTAGTATATCATTTGCGGCTACAAGTTGTGTGCGTGTGTGTGTGTGTGTCAGTGTGTGTGTGTGTGTGTGCGTCTATGTCTTGTTAACTATATAGCATGTATATGTGTGTGTGTGTGTGGGGTAGGGTATTCGGGTGTGTAGGGTATAGAATAGTTATTAGAGAAATGTACAACAAACGCAACACAAAATAAACAACGCAAATTCTCTTGACTTTTCCTGTTTTGTTTTTTAGTTCTAAACTTTAGTTCCATTGTTGTTACTAATTTATATAAAACATTCAACAACTTTATTTTTATTTTTATTTCTGTTTTTTTTTCGATTTTTTTCTTTGGTCGTGACAGATGATTTGTGCGCATGAGTTTCAATATAAATGAATAAAAGATATAAACAAAATGAAAAGAATATAAAAATAAGAAAACGAAAACGAAAACTCATAAAAAGAATTTAAGAAACTTAAAAAAAGAGTACAACAAAATTTAAGAAAAGGATAATTCTAATTGTTCAGCTGAAAATCGATTAGTTTTTAAATCAATTTTAAATGCTGAAAACGAATCGTTTGTAAAAAACGTTTTTTGAGGCTTGAGGTTAGTCAAATTGTTGTCAGACATATAAACATTCCATATATTTTGAAGAAATTGAAGATATTTTTTAAGTATCTCTTGAATTTGGCAAAGGACGAAAAAAAGGGGTCGCCGGAACCTTGGGACTGTATTTATAAATATGTATGTAGATTTATGTGTAATAATTCTTAATATAGTCGGGCTTTTTTTGTTAGTAATTTGTAGAAAACAATAGAGTAGACAATATACGACTAAACTTGTGTGTTTTGTTTTTCTTTTCTTTAGAGCATTCCGTATAATATTAAATGTATGCTACGATCAGCTAAGAAAAGTTCTTAGTGACATAACTAAATAAAAAATATATATTTATGGTTTCGCTTGCTAAACTAAAACTAGTCTAAGCTAGGCTAGAACTCGATCGAACATTTATCATAATAGGGCTAGTCGTCAAGGGACTTACTGTTGTTGGCCAGCAGGTTCTCGTGCAGCTTGTCGCGCTGATCCTCCAGCACCTCGCCCAGGTACATGGCCACCTTGCGCGTGATTTGCTCCACATACGTGTCCAGTTTGCCCAGATCGTCGGACAGGCCGACCAGCTGATCCAAGGTGCCCACCTATAAATGAAGAGTTAATATGTTTAAGTATATGCGGCTTGGTTAATTCGATGCTGGAGCTCACCTTCAGATCGGGTATATGGAACTTGTAGTTGCTGCACAGATTATGCTGCTTGCTGGTGAGGTTGTTCATCGTGTCGAACGTCTGTTGGCACGTCTTGTCGCCCGGCGCCGAAATAATCCAATATTCGGACATCATTTTAGGATAGTTGCTAAAAGGAAAAGCGAAATGTTAGTATAATTAATTATATAAATTGTTGTCCTGATTGATTGAATGGCATCAATCTTTTCTTTGTGCTGGAAAAAGCACATAGGAAAAGCTTGCAATAATTCCAAATATTGTTGGAGAACTTCTATGTGATTTTTACATTACAAATTGGAAATGGAAATTGGAAATGTTAGTATAATTAATTATATAAATTGTTGTCCTGATTGATTGAATGGTATCAATCTTTTCTTTGTGCTGTAAAAAGCACTTAGGAGAAGTTTGCAATAATTCCAACCTGATGGGAATTTTTTTTGTAGAACTGTTGAATTTTAATTTGTGTATTTTTCACATGATTTTCCTGGCCGGAAATTCGTCGACAAAGTCTGCCATTTGCCTTAGAATTGAGTGCACAAACGTGCCATAAATAATTTCCATTATGTAATTTGAGCCAATATCGATTCACAGTTTATATATATATATTGTGTGTGTACATATTAAAATGGCCTTTTCAAAGCCAAACAAACACATTGAAAACACGCATAAAAATTTAATTATTGAACTCCAAATTGTGGGGTTAGCCTAGCATTTAGATGCGATCGAACGTCAATATGCATTTTCATTTCATTGGCCCTGGGAAACAACAATACACACGAATGTGTGTGTGTGTGTGTGTGACTGCATGTGCTTGTGTGTGTATTTTTTTTGGGGGGCGCCTGCTAGACAACAAAGCGCAGACAATTGGCGCCAGGCAGACTTCGGGTCCTGTGCGTTGCCGCGAAGACACGGCGTATACGCAATATGCGCGCATTAAGTACAGTGAAAGCTCCATAAAAAGCATAATCATTGCCAACTGACGTTTTAACAAGAATGTTTCAAATAAAGCAGCTAAATTAGTTATCTTTTTGGCTTATAGTTTTCTTTGATATAACAAAATATGGATAAATCAGTTAAAAATTTCAATATCAGGCTCAATTTTTGATTTATAAGAAATAGAAAAATTTTGTATAATATAGAAATCAGCTTAATTGACAAAACTTTTGGTCGGACATTTACTTTTTGCACTGTTTCCACTATTAATCAGACTTTGACTTTATTATTTGTGCCCAAAACTTTACTAACTAAAAACTTTGCTAATCGAAAAAAAAAAAAGGAAATGTACTCAAATTTTCATAATAAATCATAATAAATAATCACATCAAATAATCAACTTTTTTTGATAAATAAAAACACATTGTATTATATGTCTCCTTAATTTAGAAGAAATCTGTTCGTTTTAGAGAGCTTTCACTGTATTATGTTTGTATTATATTATGGAAAATTCTCTGTTCCCTCTAAGGAGCTTTCACTGTATTATGTTTGTATTATATTATGAAAAACTCTATTCCCTCTAAGGACTTTTCACTGTATTATGTTTGTATTATATTATAAAAAACTCTGTTCGCTCTGCGGAGCTTTCACTGTATTATGTTTGTATTATATTATAAAAAACTCTGTTCGCTCTGCGGAGCTTTCACTGTATTATGTTTGTATTATATTATAAAAAATTCTCTGTTCGCTCTAAGGACTTTTCACAGTATTATGTTGCTTCAACTTATTCAACAGCTTCTCAATTTGTATGAGTCGCAGCCTTTTGGGACATTTCTTGCCTTGTAATTTTTTTTTTTTTAACCAGATTCCCGATAAACAAAACTTGGCACTACGACGACGACCGACCAAGGCAGACACTGTGGCTCACATGGCCCAGAACAGAAGAGAAGAGAAACCCGTGCGCACTCGTCGAAGGCTCGAAGCGAAATGAACACACAAATTAAGCTATGATGTTGGCGCCGCGGTAGCTGGCTGCCATATGGTTGCGACCGAAATTTGTTGGTGCCACAAAGGCGCAGCCACGAAAAAGGAATCGATGATGACGAGGCAGCGTCACGCAAGCCGCCTGCCAGCCTGTTCAATTTGGTAAGTGTCGACCCGACCGCTTTTGTTGCCCGCTCTAAGGTCAGTTGCGTATGAGTAATCATCTGGAGATACAAATCTAGCTTGGGTCAATTTCGTTTTAGTAGTAGTCACTATTATTACATAACTTCATGATGGCCTTCAAAGAGCACAAAAAAATAAAATATTAAGAAATGTTCATATGTAAATAGAGCTAGCAGATACTCTGTGGTGTCTAAATTGCCACAACATTGGTGTCTGCTCGCAGAACATTTGTATGCATATCACAACTTGTGTGCTTTTTTAGAATCATGAAAATCGCATAGAAAGGCGATAATAACCAGAGGAAAATGCGAGAGAGAGAGAGAGAGAGAGAGGGGGAGACTCACAGTTATGTGTGAAGCTATCACTTAAGATAACGAAAATCGCATAGAAGGGCGATAATAACACAAGTGAAAATGCGAGAGAGCAAGAAAGACAGACAGAGCGAGAGAGAGAGAGAGAGACCCAACTATAAAAAGAGACTCACAGCTATAATAGTTAGCATTCAAGTGTGTGTGTGTGTGTCACTTAAGATAACGAAAATCGCATAGAAGGGCGCTCCGCATTTACAGGGCACTTTCAATGACATATCAATCATATATGTGATAGGAAAAGCCATATAGATAGACGGTCGGGCAGACACCGGCAAAAACAGCTACAGGGTATACAAAATAAACAAAATGACAACAGCATTGGGCGCTGACCATCCCCAATAATGACCCCGCCATAACTATCCTGGCTTATCATCAGCCCCCACCAACAAAGACAACAACAACAACAAGGACAACATTCAAGGCAGTGCATTGTCCTCAACCAGGAAACAAATGTTAGCCTGGCAACCGCCGCAAGGGCAACAACAAACCGTATCTATTTTTAGCACCAAACTCGAAATTGCTTTTGTACAAATCACTAGCCAGTGGCGGCAACAAACCCCCCTCCCCCGTCCCCCACGCCTTACTGGGGGGCAGTTATGCTTGCATGCACAGAACATATGTACACACTTGTATGTTTGCATGTTTATGTATTTTATTCTATGTTAACCGCGAAGCAGGCGTGACGCATCCAGCTTATCATTCACACGGACAAATTACACAAAGCAAAAGTTTTCAGTTTCTTTTCATACTCGCAATTATCTAATTAACTGTTGTACTAACTAATTATAAATAAAATTGTCTTAAAAACGCCACTTTGTGAAAAACAACTGCATAAATTGGCAACACAGTTTGCCAGATAAGCTTCAACTGTAAACAGACGACGTAAATGATGTTGATATAAAAGAGAAGCGAAGAGCGCGGAGGAGCAACAAGAAGCGAGCATGTCGCCAGTCAGACTGGCCAACGGCTGGCACAAATGTGTGTGGTGGAAGAAAGAATGGGTTGAGGTGGAGGTGGGGAAGTTTGGTGTCAAAGGGGTCGAGGTGGAGAGCAGGGGAAGTTTGGCTTCAAAGGACGCCACACAGGAAATTGCACCGTTAGCTGATGACGAAAACAAAAATAGCGACTTGAATAACTGTGATGATGCGCACATACACACACACACACACATGGTTATGTACATAGTAACTGCCGGCGGGGGCAGCGGGCGGGTGGCCAAATTAATTAATATTAATGTGTGCTGTCAGGAAAAGGCATTTGCCTTCTCATTTGTTGCCTGTCGCTAAGCCTTTAAAGTATGTGAACCAAGCAGCTGTTTTTTTTTTAATTCTTGTTTTGTTGACCAGCTGCTAACATTCGTGTTTTATTAACTGGGCAAATATGTACGAATGCATGAATATGTTTGACTTTTTGTTTCACGTTTACTTTTGGTCAAACGCAGTCAAGGTCCTCACGGCACGCAATATTACTATTTGATGAAGTCCTTGTGCCGGCAGTCAAATAAATATATGTGTAACTGCTGGCTAACAGCAGGTAGCCGTTAAGGGAAATACGGAAGAATTCATCAATTTAATTAATATAAACATGCTAAATGATTTTCAAATTTTCATGGTTGGATATTTTGTTTACGCAGACAGAGAGAGAGAGAGAGCGGCATTCAGCCCAAGAGAGAGTATTGGGGAGAGAGACCGAGAACGATACGCATTGAGACAATTTACCACAGCTCGCCACAAACACACACACACACTGCCGTGGTGAGTTAGCCGCACTGTCAGCTGTTCGTGACAGTCACATGACAGCTTTTCGATCGATATTTTCTTTTCCCACAGAGTTTGAAGCATAAAAACAAAACAACTAAACATTTGCCAACATATTTTCCAACACACAACACACACAAATGCCCGCTATTCGATTTTAGTTGCTGCCACTAGCCACACGAGCTGCCAGCTTGGCGTTGCGCCCCAAAAAAGTCGATGCCAAATGAACGAGGCAACAGTTTTTCAGGGTCATTAGATTTGCACATAGTCAGAATCATTTTGCCTTTTTATCAGAGCAAATGTGGCTTTAAACACTTGCAGAATGGTTAGACTCCCATTACACTGTACAGTTGAACATTTGATAACAGGTCAGCAGACCTGTTGTATTTTTTTTCACATGCGCGCAATTTGCTGCGTGTCGTTTTCCGCACAGAAACTGGCTTTGTTAATGCAATCACTTACATTTAAACGGCACTGATACACGTCAACTCGTATATGGAGAAAACACTGCTTTAACTTTGTGCGTTGAAATTGTTTTTTAAAAAATATATGAAGCAACGCAACCGCACCACCCACAATGCACGTACGAACGGAGCACAAGTCTCTGATAGAAACTCAACACGAAAATGACAATTCACAATTTCGCATAAGATTCACGTGATAAATTGCGATGACGATAATATATCGATTTAAGCACCGCTTCGGCCTGGGGTACACACTCCAAATCAAAAACAGCTGTTCAGCGTACAGTCGTGTGTACACACTGCTCGGTCTCTATGTAGGCGCCTACGCTACGTGCCTAATTATTAAAGTTTAGTTTAGTTAATTCTATTATTTGGACCAATTAAGGTGGCACTAGCGTACCAAAATTTGAAAGTGAGTGTAAATATTTTTCGTTTAGTGCACACTGCTAAAGACAAATTTGACTATCTCTGTTATGAAGTTCTAACAGGATTTGTGATAACTACTTAGAAATTAAAGCGTTCGTGTGGGCGTTTGTTATTAAACAGTAGGATGTAAGTAAAATGAAATAAATTACAATACGACAATATGTTGTTACCAAATTTATACAAGTTTCTGCTTACTCTGATTGGCACTTTCTGACATTACGCATCTATTTCATTCGTTTCATAATACAATTGCATATGCTTCAAGTACACATAACAAAAGGTTCTGTCGGACACGTGCGCTAACATTATGTATAAGTGAGGGGGGCTCTACAACCTTTAGCCTGGTATGATTTTGCAAAAAAAGAAAAGAACAACAAAATACAGGCGATGACTCAAACCGTCTTTCAGCGAAACAATTAGCCAAGCGAATGTGTATTGTGTACACAAAACGGACGCAAAACAATTCCTATTTCCAGTGAGCACTTTCCAATTAGTCTGTTTACTCAACATCTCCTCCAGTGGCTATAAATAAACCGAGACAATGGTATGCGTCTCTTCCTCATTGCATAAACAGCGCGCATTGCATTTCCATAACATTGAACCCTAACACCAATACTCAGCTGAGAATGGGAATGGGAATGGGAATTGTAATGGAAATGGAAATGGAAACAATAAAGCTCAAGTGCATAGAAACTTTGGATATGGCTTTGTCCACTTACCCGGCAGCCGCCGTCGTCATTAATGGACGCTTATCAATCGTTCGATCACCGCGACGGATCTTATCTCATCTCACAGAGCCGCCGCAGTCCGTAGTCCAGTTGAAGAGCTTTACGTGGTATCTGTATATCAGAGCGATAAATAGTTATTAGCAAATACCCTGTATGTACTTAAAATGGGTAAATTTGTTTTTGGCATATATATGTAACTGGCAGAAGGAAGGATAAAAATCTATTATTACTCGATCTAGTCTCGCGTATGTCCTGCGAATATTACGTCAAACTATCGATAACCGATCATTTATCGATGTATACTCTAAACTTTCTTATCGCTTTTCATATAGTAACCCCACTGGAGCACCCTTGTTAAGCAAAGCATTTGACATTGGCTTACACACCCCCCCCCCCACACGTTTCGCTCTTTGCAATTGCTTGCTGCGCTGTTGGCGTCACTGTCGACGTCGACGTCGGCGTAAACGTCTGCCGATCAGAAGCGCTGCCTCTGCTGCTGCTCGCGCGGCGCTGTTCAGTCTGCAAAGTTATTCGCTCGAGTGTGCTACGCGCTGCGCAGGCAATCAAAATTCGAAACGAAATCTAAATAAAACGTTAAAAGTGAAAACAGATATATAACAAAAAAAAAACCACAAATTTTTCTGATTTTTTGTGGCAGGTGCTAACAGTAACGGTAAACATGACACTGTTCGCTTGTGGGACAAACAGACAGACGACAGACCGCGCTCGTTATCAGTTACAAAATATTGACCGTTAGACGGTGACCTACATACCCAGACCCAAACTCACCTATGGGCTTGACCCAGCCCCAAAAAAAAGAAGAAGAGATAAAAGAAGAGCGGCAATAAATTAGTTGTTTGTGTTAGTCGAAATATTGTGCTAATAACAATTTAGCATGTTTTAAATAATTAAAATATATATATATATTATTTAACGAAATTTAATTAGAGTTGGATTTAAAATAAATCAGGTTTTTACTGTATAAATTGTGTTGTCTATAGACATGATATATTAGGTAAAAATTTAGTTGAGTGACCATCTATAAAACGCTCAGTTAATTTGAAGGGTATATAAACTTAGTAATAATATATATTTTATAGTTTCTAAAAGAACAAACAAACACCTTTTTTTATAGAATTAAGTACAGTCATATACTCGAAAGAGTATTTCATATTCGACATTCCAATAACGCCTCCGTCTTGATTTACAGAGCGTGTCTTTTGTTATGCAAAAAAAAAAAAAACAAAGAATATTTGAAATGATAATTTCACAAATTTTATGTCTATATAAAATTGAATTTCTTGAACTCCTGACCTTGGCACTAAGAACAGAAAGAGCATAACTAATCTTCTTTTTTTTAAATGATTTTTAAAACAAAAGCGTTTGTATTATTTTACACTTGAGCGCTTTTTCTATCTAGATCTTGCAATTAATATGAACTCAAAATTAAAAAAAAAATGAATACCTAAACTTGGGTTGGGTCTGCTGCGACTTGGTTTAGTTGTTTCTGTTGTTGCTGCTTCTGCTGTGTGTGTTCTCTTTTAAGTAAGGTTCGACTGCGTGGAGAAAGTTTCTCCAACTGATTTTAGTGCTTCTGATTGTTGTTGCTTTTGCCGCCGCTGCTGCTGCTGCTGGTTTTTAGGTATAATGTTCGTTCGCATTCGTACGCCGCTGGCGTCAGTGCTGCCAACTGTTAGCCGAATCCCTTAGTTAAAAGTAGCTAAAAATAGCTGAATTAGCTTTCAGCGCACGACAATTGGCAATAAATTCGTTTTGAAATTTCAATTGTTTCCGGCTGCTGAACTCTGAAAATAGCTAAATTCAGCCATAAATTAGCTGATTTGGCAACACTGGCTGGCGTGTCTGAAAAGCTCGCGCCGCGCCGCAGCGAAATCGGAATCACTTTGCTCCATGGTCGCAGCGACGCGACTGCGCTGCCGCTGCCGGTACCTCAGTCACTGGCGACATGCGTGCGTGCGACGTCGCTGCGCTGCGCTGCGCAAAGTTTGCGCTCTTGCGGCACACGGTCAGAGCAGCTCGAGCGTGCAACAGGTGGCGATTAAATGCGGCTATTGATTTTGGTGTTTACCCATTTGTGCGTCGCCCAGATATTACAAGTAATATGCATAACTAAAAGGCGATTTATTTTCTGATTGCGCAGAATATCAAGAGGTGAAAGTTGTGACGACACAAGTGGCACGCGGACGTGTGCGTGTACCGTTTGTTTTAAGCCCATGTACCAATGTATACATATGTATGTATATACATTTATTCCAACATGTCACTAAATGTTATTAAATATTTGCAGCGCTCAGGTATAACAGGACTCTCTTGAAGCCAACGACCAATTAGAATATTCACTAAGTCATGTCACGAAATTGGCCCGAAAATGTTGGAATACGCGCCATTGAAGTGCTCTTCCCCTCGCAATATGTGGACCAAACGGAATTGGAACAGTTCGATGGCGCCTCTGCGGGCAAATATACAATCGGCCTGGGCCAATCAAAAATGGGCTTCTGCTCGGATCGCGAGGACGTCAACTCGCTGTGCCTGACGGTTGTCGCCCGTCTACTGGAACGTCATCATATCAAGCACACGGAAATCGGCCGACTCGAGGTGGGCACCGAAACGATAGTCGATAAATCGAAATCGGTAAAATCGGTGCTAATGCAATTATTTGCGGCGAGTGGCAACACTGACATCGAGGGCATCGATACCACAAATGCCTGCTACGGCGGCACGGCAGCGCTCTTCAATGCCATCAATTGGATCGAATCGTCCAGCTGGGATGGACGTTACGCGCTCGCCGTCTGCGCCGATATTGCCGTCTATGCCAAGGGTGCGGCACGTCCGACTGGCGGCGCCGGCGCCATTGCCATGCTCGTGGGACCACATGCGCCGCTCCAGTTCGAACGTGGCCTGCGCGCCACGCACATGGAGCACGCCTATGACTTCTACAAGCCCGACCTAAGCTCCGAGTATCCGACGGTCGATGGCAAACTGTCCATACAGTGCTACCTCTCGGCCCTAGACACCTGCTATCGCCGCTATCGCCAGAAGTTCGAGAAGCAGCAGCCGCAACAGTCGCAGCTCGGTCTGCAGAACTTCGATGCCATTATTTTTCATACGCCGTTCTGCAAACTTGTCCAGAAATCTGTGGGACGGCTGTGCTTCAATGATTTTCTGCTGTGCAGCGAGCAGGAGCGCGCCGTCAAATTTGCCGGCCTAGAGCGCTTCAATGCAGCCACGCTGGAGGGCAGCTATTTCGATCGGGATGTGGAGAAGGCCTTCCTCACGCAATCCGCCGAGCTGTTCGCCAACAAGACGAAGAAATCGCTGCTGCTGGCCAATCAGGTGGGCAACATGTACACGCCCAGCGTCTACTCGGGCCTCGTCTCGCTGCTGATCAGCGAGCCGGCCAGCCAGCTGGTGGGCAAACGCATCGGTGTCTTCTCCTATGGCTCCGGTCTGGCCGCCTCCATGTATTCCATCAAAGTCACACAGGATGCGTCCGTTTTTGAGAAGTTTGTGTCCACGCTGGACTATGTGCTGCCTCTGCTGAATGCACGCGAAAAAGTCGCGCCCGAACAGTTCTCGGCGCTGATGGAGGTGCGCGAAAAGAACAATCATGCGGCGCCCTATACGCCGACGGGCAGCATCGGTGCCCTCTTCCCGGGCACCTACTACCTGAAGGATGTGGATGCACTGCACAGGCGCAGCTACGAGCGCACGCCCAGCAACATCAGCAACGGGGTGCATTAGCCAAGGGCAGGAGCTCACCCAGCCAGCATTAACTAAGCTACTTAACTTGACAATAATCTAGCTGCTAAACTAATCTGTTGTAAAGCTAAAGCTGGACTTCTTTTTTAATCTTAGCTACGTTGGTGGATTTGGTTGTCTGTATGCAATATTAATTTTATGGCCTGGCTTATTATCATTTTCATAAAGTCCGCTTTTATTTATATCATGCCTGAACGAACGCAAACGGAATCGAGTGTAAAAAAAATCCTAATATTTTTAAAAAACTCTGAATCTATGCCTATATAACTGTACAATAAAATACATTTAAAATCGTATTTATACAAAAATATGCATAGCCAAAGCATATAAACACGTTTGTAAAGTGCAAATAAACAAGAAATTCAATACAATTATTCGTTCCTTTTTCTTTCACACAGTTTCAGTTTACAATGTGGAATGGACTTAAATGAAATTCGATTAAAATACGTTGAAATGGGCTCTCATCTTCAGCTTAGCGCCGTAAACTTGTAGAAGTTGATACCTAAAATGTAACATAAACAACATTAAAAACATATATAAATACAGCATAAATTAAAGGGAAATACCGTTGGGAATGACGCGTGTATTAAAATGACTCTCGGATCGAAAGACGCCCAAGTTGCTATTTGGCTCAAACAAATCCTGAAAGCAAACAGAATATAAGTAAAAAAAATTATAGGGTATTAAATGTGCCAAGCAACTGACCTGCACGCCGTAGCCGTACTCATTGTTCAGCGACAGCTATAGAAAGTTGATAAATAATATAGAGATAATAACAGCGAGAAATTTATATATAATTACATCTTTAAGCGTAAATGATATGGCATATGGCGCGCCGTCCACACGACGGCTGACAAAAGCCACGGCGTAAGAGTATTCGGCATCGGCTGTCGGTGCTATGGGACGACGCCAGACCTGTACACACGATTAGATAATTAATAGACGATAACTAAGCAAAACTTAATAGTTACCTCGATATTATTTTTCATGAGCAAGCGTCGGCCCTGTATGCCCAGCGGATCCTGATTGACAGCAATCACAGCCCTGAATTAGAAGATTAAACAGATAGATTTTATATTTAAACGAATTTGACTAACCGATTCTGTAAGATGTCCTTGATTTCGGGTCGCACCTTGGCCAAATCATTGGACATGATCAAGGGTGCCGCCAGCACAGCCCAAATGGCCATTTGCAATTTGCTTTGATCATAGCTTAAACCATAATTGCCAAGCAGCAGCATATCCGGATCGTTCCAATGTCCCGGTCCGCCATGTGGCTGTATGCTGTCCTGATTTTTGCCAAAGTAATCAATTATCTGCATGAGCGACTCCAATGAATCGTCAATATCATCCCAGTTGCGCCACAGATTGCAGTGCTTCTTCAAGGATTCATATTCGGGCATTTGGCCAACCTCCGACTGATACGCAGGCCTGCACACAAAAGCAGTTAATAATGGAATTACATATATTTATATGGAAGGTGCCCCTCACCAGCTGCAGGAGTAGACCATGGGCCTGCCTGTCCCGTTGAGAAGCCGTCCAAATTCTGGATAACCCGCTGCCATGTCGCTTATGTTCGCATAGCAGCCATCCAATTTGACATAGTCCACATCCCAATTGGCAAATGTTTGCGCGTCGAGTGCCATGTGATTGATGACGCCCGGATAGCCGGCACACGTATTTGTGCCAAAGTCCTGATACAAACCAAACTTGAGTCCTCGTTCGTGTATCTGTGTGGGGCGGAGAAAGAAAGACTAAGAGACTTTTTCAGGCTGGATTCGTTTACTTACATGATCGGCCAGCACGTTTAGGCCATTGGGAAAACGTTTGCGATCCGGCACAAGTTTCTTTGTCCTGTTATCGCGATCCTTCTCCAGCCAACAATCATCAATGATGACATACTCGTAGCCAACATCAGCATAGCCCTCAGAGACAATCAAATCCGCGTGACGCCGGAACAGCTGCTCACTATAACGAAAAAGCCGGATGATATAATAATAATACCTGATAGTTATATATAGTTATATACCTAATGCATTCATAGGGATAAGTTTTGCAGTCGGTTATGCAGCGAAAGCGCTGCCAGGACATCCAACCCATGGGTGGTCTGTAACAAGGGATTCAGTTAGCACGAGAAATTTCAAGTTGACTTTTTAATGCCCTTACTTAAGTGCCAGGCCATTGTCCAGCGCTGAACCCCGTTGGAGCAACTGCAGCAATAACAGCAGAAATGCGGCCACAACGTTTAACATGCTGTACATACTTCCCCGAGCTGTGTGCAGGGAATGCGTCCTGTCCAGGGCACGTTAACGGTTTTATAGTTGGGCGTAGAGTGTCTTGTGGCACTGACAAGCTGAAGATAAATTTTTAACCTGCTTGTTTACCTTGCGCAAACAGCAAGTGGCAATTGTTAACTGTAATTGAAGAGTACACAAATTGACTGTTCACAGCAGTCGAGCACAGCAGGGAGACAGCCTGTTGGTTGGGAGGCTTCTTATCAGCGCTAGTTGTTGGCGCAAGTTCAGGCGCTCAAGCGTTGCAGGTTATCGCGATGCCTAGTTTAGCCTACATACACTAAACAACAAGAGTCCGTCGCTTTCTATTTCATCATTGCGGGAAGATTGCTAAAAATAAAACATGCACGTATCAGTTGACGTGCATCTATCTATTAATTATTCATTCATTTTAAAATAAATTTGCAATAACTTTTATTTTTGCGAAGCACTTATTTTTGTAGCACAATTTAGTCGCTTCAGTCACACACACACACACATACATAGATAAATAACTGTATGATGCATTATGGCGACTGACTCCCATTGGAAAGTAATGGAACTCAAGTGCTCGTAATTAAAAACAAAAAAAAACAGTTATTAAAGTCTTGACCCAAATGGCATTTTATCAACCACTTCTAGATAAAAACATATCTTATGCGTATTGACAAATCGAAAAATGCAAACATAATTAAACACGTACATTGCAAATTTTCTAGTTTTTCCAATACGCAGCTTTTCAATTAACTTTTATAGGCGGATATTTGCGCGGGCGGTTTAACTTGCGATTGGATTTGTTATTGTTAATTCATGTAGAACACGCGCTAAAAAATACCAAAAGCCTACTATGCGTTTTACAGCACTGCTCAGCGGCGCAGAGTTATCGATAACGTTGCATCGTAAACTATAAGCTGCTTTGCTCGTTCAGCGTTTATTAAGTTGATTTAATTTGATTTGTTTATTTGACGAAAAAAGAAATGGCATTCCAATTGCCCACGACAACTGCAGCGAGCGCGCCCAACTTTTCGTTTGGCCTGAACACCGCACCAGCCACTGCTAATACCGGCGCCGCCGCAAATCCCGCCAAACCGGCCACATTTTCATTTGCACCACCATCGCAAGCGGCCAATGTAGGCGGTGGCGATGCAGACGCTGCGAAATCGGCAGCGCCGCCACCATTTGGCGGCTTCGGCTTGTCGGTAACGCAATCGGCGCAAGGCCTGTCAAATCCACTCACGGGCCTAGGTGGCGGTGGACTCGGCGCAGCTGTTGCGCCAACAGCAGTCGGTGGAGCTGCACCAGCCGCTGCACCAGCGCCCGCCTTTGGAGGATTTATGTCTCAGCCGGCGGCGGCGTCGTCTGTCACAACAACAACAGCAGCAGCAGCAGCCACAACAGCCAATCCACTCGGCGGCGGCCTCTCACTGGGATTGACCACGGCACCCAAAAACACAACATCCATTGCACCCGTTTCCGCTGCCCCTGCAGCCTCACTCGCTGGCGCAGCACCTGCCGCTGGAGCTGGGGCTTTTGCAAACCTGTCCACAGCGACCAAAACTACAGATTCGTCAACTGTTGCGAATGCTACACAATTGTCGTACAACCAGCTGGAGGAGCACATCAACAAATGGACGCTGGAGTTTGAGGAGCAGGAGAAGGTCTTCACCGAGCAGGCAACACAGATAAATGCCTGGGACAAGCTGCTCATTGGCAACAATCAGAAGATCATCGAGCTAAACGATGCCGTGCAAAAGGTGAAGAACGATCAACAGGTGCTCGACCAGGAACTTGAATTCATAGCCACACAGCACAAGGAGCTGGAGGAGAGCCTCGCGCCGCTCGAAAAGGAATTCACAAGCTTGCCGCGCGTGGATCAGGAACGCAGTCAGACCTATCTGATGGTCGAGAACCTCGATACGCAGCTCAAGCAGATGTCCGAGGATCTCAAGGAGGTGATCGACAATCTGAACGAGGCCAACAAGGGCCAGGACAACACAGATCCAATCATACAAATTGGCAAGATACTCAACGCGCACATGAACTCACTGCAATGGATCGAATCGCAGTCCACGCACATCTGCAAGAAGCTCGACGACATTGGCAAAATACACGAGTCCCAAAAACGCGACATCTTTCGCGCACCTTATTGAGTTACATTAAAAACTTGAATAAAAAATCATTTTGTATTTGTTATTAACAATTGTATACAGTAAAAGTTTAAAGTTCTTGGGGGGAATCCTCAAGAGAAATTCTCTTGTCCGAAAAAAAGTGGCCTCTCTTTGGAGGGCATAGAAAGGGATCTAAAGCCGTAATCCTCCGCTCCGCCTAATAATTCTTGAAGTACTTAAGTCTAAACATGGGCGCCTTTTTGCCCCTGCAGCCGAGCGCAAAGTAGCCGCTGCTGGGCGAGAAGGCAATGGTGTTCACATGGCCCACATGGTCGCTCTGGTCCGGGAAATTGGCATAGACTGTGGCGCTGGGGAAATGCGCCAGCTTCAGCGCATTGGGCACCTGGCGCGAGCTCATGGCCAGCAGCTCGGATGTGTGGTTAAAGAGTATGTCTGTGATGCCAGTGCGCAGATTCATGAAACGCTTCTCCGGCTGCGGCACCGTCGACTTGTAGATGCTTTCGTAGTCGTACACATTGACCACGCCCTCGCTGCTGCCGGTGGCCAGCATGCGTTGATTGGGCGCCAGCTGGAGCACACGGCCGCTGACGCAGCCATCGTCGACGAAGCTGTGCTCGATGCGCTGCTGGCGCAGCGACAACACGTTCACCATGCAGTCAGAGCTGCTGCAGAGCAAGCGCTGCGAGTCGGCCGTGAAGCACATGCCACGCACCGTACCCTCCTGCTTGAAGCTGTGCAGCAGCTCGTTCGTGTGGCTGGTCAGCAAATGGATGGCTCCAAATTTGCCGGGCGCTGCGATATATTTGCCGCAGGGCGACAGCTCAAAGCGACGCAAGTAGCGTATGCTCTTGGGCAGCACCAGCTTGGTTTCCTTGGCCTCCAGCAGATCGTACGCGAAGTAGAAGGGCCGCACCGAGCCGAAGAAGGCCTTGGTGCCGCAGGGCGTGATGCGGGCACAGGTGAGTGGGAACTTTTTAAAGCGCATGCTGTGCAGCTTCTCGTTCTTTTGTCCGTCCACGCTGTAAATGCTGGCCAGGCAGCTCTCGCCGGCAACGAGTGCAGCCGTGCTGGTCGGATGGAATTGGATGCTCGACACGCAGCCCTCGCTGTAGGTGGCGCGATTCAGATCCTTGGTGCGCTTAAAGTTCAACACTTTGGGCTGCAGGCCCTGCGCCTTGGCCTTGCGATCAATGAAGCCCACGGTTTTGAGCAGCGGTTCCTCTTCAGATTCATCGGAATCGCCTTCCTCCTGCTTCTGGTCCAGCGACGCCCACTTGGGCTGGTTGATGGTGCGCTGAAAACGCGCCGTCAAATATTCCTTGTATGATTTGTCTTTGCGCAAGTGCGTCAATGGGCCCGAGTGTCGCGTGCGTCGCTTCACTTCGCCCACTTCTAGGTCCTCATCGTCCGAATCTGTCCAGGCGGGTTTGTGTTTCTTAGCCGTCTCCTCTGTGTCGGCAGCTGCCGCCGCCGCTTTGCTCTCGCTGTCGCTCTTGGCGCGTTTCTTGCCCACCGACTTGGCCAGGTTCGATAGAAACGTTTGCTTATCGCCGAAAATCAACTTTTCCGTGGGCACCGCCACATAGGCGGGTTCCACTTCGTCTGCGCCAGACTTGCGCCTAGTTTTGGGAGGTTTGTGTTCATCATGCTTGGCATACATGGCCATCAGCTCCTTCAGATCCTCCAAGCCATCACTCGACTCGTCATCGCTCATTTCGATATTATTTATGCTTTTTAATTTAAATCCACTTAATTTCTGCTGTAATTCGAGTTTAATAGAGATCCCGACCACAGCAAAAGTACTTTAACCGCACGTGTGTCTACCAGGGCTGGCTTACGATATTGCAACCTATCGATATTCTGAAAATATCGATATTGACACAATTTACATATATCGAACTAAAATATTTTATCGAAATTCAAAAAACTATACGTTAAGCTGTGAGCTCTCGCTAAAACGTGGTTTCTAATCATAAAATTTTAATTAACATATTCAAACAACGGCAGCTCTGCTGTTTCAGCCCTTGAAACATTGCTCTGGCTGTGTATGGGTCTGCTGGGTAGCTTGGTGGGGCGGCGGCGACAGCGTGCCCGTAAATGCAAGTGGATGAAGCGCAGCAAATTAAATATGTCCAGTAAAACATTGAAGATAATAACGTAGCCCATTTGCACCAGGCCCATGACGCTGACGCCGACAAACAGGGCCAGAACACCGCCAAAGGAAACTGCAGGAAGACAGGACAAGGTTTTTAAAGTGCTCAAAATTTATATGCAGCGCTTGCCAATCAGATCCTCGAAACTAAAGACGACATCCCGCCGGAAGCGCACCTTGGGCGGTATCAGATCCCAGCGAAAGCTCGAAGTGGCCGTCTCAACGCTGGCCGCCTCCTCGTTGCTCTTCATGCCCCACGAGCTCTTCTTCATCGTTTGCATGGTGTACTCGATTTCCGTGCAGGTCGACGGACACTTGCATATGTGCAGCGCCCAGATGGGCCACTTGAAGTCCAGCAGGCACTCAAAGCCCGCCGGATTGCAGCTAGGTCCCTGCACAAACGGATAGAAGAAGGGCACACAATTGCACATCTCCAGTGCCATGATGGCGCGACAACGCGCCAGGCACAACGACTTGCTGTAGATCTAGGGGCAGAGGCGACTGTCAAAGATTAAGGATGTGTATATCGAAGCTACATGCCTTCAGATTGGATGTCTCCTCATCATTGAAGACGCACTTGCGCTGCTCCACGCTGAGTTCCCGCAGGTTCTTAGAAGCTCTACAAGGCATAACATATATAATGGAAGAACAATTTCTGGACAGGATCACTTACACCGTCTCGAGCACCTTAAATGAGGCCGTTATTTCATCGGATTTGTGCAGAGCGACAATGTTTGCCTCCGTGGCGGACACCTCATAAGGTGAGTGCACATCCAGCTGAAAGGAAGAGAGAGAGAGAGATTAGTAGACCATAGACTATATATAGACATATATACTGACCACGCCCGTGCTCTCGTAGAGATCCATGCGTATATAGCACTGCTGCTTGCCGTATTGGCAGGTGAGCGGCTCCGGCAGCTGCTCAAACTGCACGGATCTGCCAGGATCAAGATGGAGACTTAAGGGATATATAATGTCTGGCGGGATTTACTCACTTCTTGCCCAGCACCGCGGACATGGGCGAGTTGATGGCATAGCAGGAGCCGCGCTCCGTCATGACCATCTGCACGGCGACCTTGAAGTTGGCATCAAAACTGCTGATGACCTGCTCGAAGGGTCGATTGATCGTCTGGATTATGTCGTACAGATCGATCTGATCGAAGCGCTCGTCGCTCGCGAACTTGGTCAGCTCCGCATAGTTGCTGGCGGTGGCATTGACCACCGCATAGAGAAAGTCCATGATGTAAAAGTAATCCTCGTCGATGATGGACACATTCCACGCCTCCTGTATCAGCTCGTTGGCCTTGAACGAATCGATGTGGTCGTAGTAGCACAGCGTAACCGCCGGCAGCGACCCGTTCCAGCCCCGATAATCCCGATCCACCGAGATGACCGTGGGCGAGGTCAAATAACGTGCTATCTGCACCTCACTTAACATATAAACAGCAAAGACGCTGCCCAGGATCACCAGGAACCAGAGTAAGCTGCGGGGAACAGATCCACAGCTGTGATTACCCCAATCTCTAGCTCTTATAATAAAGATATGATTAATAAAACTAGGCTAAAAATCGATATTTATCGATTTTGGTAGAACAGGGTAAGTTATCGTTTATCCATATCTCTTGATTTTAAATTATACAAGATATGCTTGAAAACTAGGTTAAAAATCGATATTTATCGATTTTGGAAGAGTAGGCTAAGTTATCGATGACAAGATATTCTTTAAACTAGGCTAAAAATCGATATTTATCGATTTTGGAAGAGTAGGGTAAGTTATCGTTTATAAGAGGCCCATATCTCTTGATCTAAATTATACAAGATATGCTTAATAAAACTAGGCTAAAAATCGATATTTATCGATTTTGGAAGAACAGGGTAAGTTATCGTTTATAAGAGTCCCATATCTCTTGTTCTTAAATTATACAAGATATGCTTAAAAACTAGGTTAAAAATCGAGATTTATCGATTTTGTTAAAACAGGATAAGTTATCGTTTATAAGAGTCCCATATCTCTTGCTGTTAAATTATACAAGATATGCTTAATAAAACTAGGCTAAAAATCGATATTTATTGATTTTGGAAGAGTAGGGTAAGTTATCGATTACATGTATTTTTTTAGCTAGCCTTTATATAGACCGATCAATGGATCTGATGGAGGATTGGCGACGTGTCCTTGTCCAACCTTAAGCTGACAGTTACCCATGATCTCCATTCTCAAAATATCGTGGCTAAAAATCGATATTTATCGATTTTGGAAGAGCATGGTAAGTTATCGATGACAAGATATGTTTAATAAAACTAGGTTAAATCGATATTTATCAATTTTGGAAGAGCATGATTACCGTTTATAAAATCGATATTTATCGATTTTGGAAGAGTAGGGTAAGTTATCGATGACATGTATTTTTGTGCTAGCCTTTATATAGACGGATCAATGGACCTGATGGAGGATTGGCGACGTCTCCTTGTCCTACCTGTAGCCCTTATAATATACAAGATATTCTCAAAAAAAACGTGGCTAAAAATCGATATTTATCGATTTTGTTAAGACAGGGTAAGTTATCGTTAATACATGTCGTGTTTTCGGCTCTCTGCAGGGCCACATCATTGCGGAGTTCATCCTGATCGTGGATTGGCGACGTCTTCTTCTGCCTTAAGCATACAGTTACCCGTAATTTTCCCAGAATCAACCAACTCTAGTTTAGATCAGCCACCGTCACCCCCGCTTACCGCTCGGCCATGTGCAGGCCGCGATTGACGGTCAGACGTATGGCCAGCAAGCTGGTCTCGTCGCCCGCCTGAGCCGTAACATCCCGCAGACGAGCGCTCAAAACACGGAATAGCCGCAGGAGAAGGCCTCCAATTAATAGAAGCCAATGCCGCGTCCAGGCGGAGCAGCGTTTCAGCAGGAGTAACACACGCGAGCGCATCCTCAAACGAAATAAAATGCCAAAAATCCGTTCAACCCGCATTTATTGACTGTCCTTTTTCAGACAAAACCCCTCAGCGATTTATTGCCCAGATCGATTTGTATCAGGAATATGACAATGACCAGCAAAGCGTTGACAAACTGCCGCAGAACAAAAAGCACAAAATGAGATTGTGATTGGGTTAATGTGTCGGCGCACTTACCCCGCCCAGCGAAAGGGTGTCCAGGTCGATGAGTCCGCAGGCGGCCGGGGGTTGGGCCTGATTAGTCTGGAGCTGCAGCAGAAAACGATTAATGGAACGTTCCAGGCGCGTGTCGCTAGCCTCCAGCTGGTTGAGCAGCAGACAGAGCTGGCATTTCTGCGGGTGTGGAAATGGGTTGGTTATCAGGAGTTAGCTATCTATGGAGTCGACTCACCTGCTCAACGATGCGCTCGTTGACCCTGAGTACAAACCAAATGCGTGAGCCGTGCAGCAGGAGCCACAGGGAACGATAGCAGTAGAGCACCCAGTCGCCCAGTTGGGCCAGCTCGAGCAGCCGGAACACGTTGAACACCTCGTAGGAGAGGCTCAGCAGAGAGTTGCCAAAGCTGAGCAGCAGCACGAATCCGAATCTGGCCAAGAGTTCAGCTTGAACGCTGTCCAAGGCGACGGCAGCCAAACGCAGCTGCTCCAGCGACTGCGACTCCAAGGCCAGCACACAGATGCCAATCGGAAGCCGTTGTCGCAGCTGTGCCAGGCGCTGGTTGAGCTGTGCATAGAACAGGCATAGCAGTCGTTGTGCCAGGACATATTGCAGCAGGCTCAGGCTGATCATCAGGCTGGGCAGCTGGTGGGCACAGTTGCTGGGCAGGCTGAGACGCCAGTCGAAGTTCAACCAGGCGCTGTCCACCACAGCGCAGACGGCATGAAAGCCAATTATCACACAGAGCAGCCGCAGCACATGCTGCTGCTCCAATCCGGCACAGAGCTGACGTCCGTTCTCGAAGAGCAGCGCCTGCAGGCGACATAGCTGCAGCCAGAGGCGTATATAGAATCGTGCGCTGCGATAAATCCGCAGCGAAAAGATCGCCGTCAACAACATGTTCGCCGGATACTCGGCAAAGTAAAACAGCTTCTGTATGGTCAGGACTTGCTTGTAGAACTTCATGGTGATCAATCGGTTTAGCGTGTAGAACCAAACGCAGCCCAGCAACAGCAAGGACCAGATCAGGTGCGGATATGCCAACCGTTCTCCGGGCGGGGAAACGCCCAGCCAGCGGCTAAGGCCGAGCAGCAGGCGCACGCCTCTCTGTCTTTCGCTCCAACTACTCATGAGGAGAACGACAGGAAAACTAAATGCCTAATCTAATTGAAAAGCATTTAAGGAGTTTGATTAATGATGCGGCAGCTGTCGGGATGTGCCTAATTGCAGGTTAATTGAAAGGCGTGAAAACGCGCTTGACCCAAACGTCATGTTGCAGCTCAAGTTGAAGCAGGCGTCACGCAAAAAACGCCTCACAGCTGCCTGGTCGCAGCCCCAGGAAGGATTGACAACGCCGTGGAAGCAGCAAAGGTATGGCTAGTAGGCTGGGATGGATGGGATCTCGGTTCGATCTCTCTGTAAGTGTCCAGCCAGCATTGGGGGATGAAGGAAGGCAAGAATGTCCAACCATTAGTTCAGATTGGAGGAACCAATTCAGATCGAAGGTCTCTCTTCATCTTCATTTATCTGGGAGATCGAGCACCTGTAATTCAATTAGCATCTCAGTCAGAATATCCTCTCTCTCTCTCTCTCTTCAAATTCAAACCTTACCCAACTGATGCTTTTCACATAAATCCCACGCAGGAACTGGAATCTAACACAGCAACTGTACAAATCGAATGCTGAGCAGCTGCATCAGGAGCTGCGGCTGCTGCTGCTCATCTGTGTGCTGGCCGGCAGTGCTCCACTGGCTGCATTTCCACGCTGCTCGAGCAGGGTCCATGCTGCAGTGCAGCATATCTGGCTGTTCGTCCTGTACATTTGGCTCTGCTGCGCCGCCTACTTGGAGCTGGCAGATGGGACGCATGAGCGTAACAATCTGGAGCGTAACTTTTACATATTCGAGTCTGTAACCTATCTCATACACATACCCTGCATCATGGTCCTGAGCATGCGCTGGAAGCGACGCATTGGGGGGGTATTCCAAGCAATTGGAGCGTTCGATTTGGCCAGCGGTTATATTGTGAATCGTCGGCGCATCCGGCGCTTTGTGCGTCATCAGCTGTGGCTGCTGCTAATCTTTGCCAGCTGCTGCATACCCATCGTTCTCTCCCATCGCGACTACGAGGTGTGCAAATCCTTGGTCAACCTGAGCACCTATGTGCTGCCCAACATTTTGAGCTCCATTTCCTTCATCCTCTACTACACGCTGCTGCAGGGCATCAATTTGCGGCTGCAGCATTTGGCCAAGACGTTGCAAGCGGAACTCCAGCGTGGACCTTTGACCCGGCGGGCGGAAATCCAGGAATTCCGCGGGCAACACACGCAGCTGCTGCTCTTCACCAAAACAGTTAATCAAACTTTCGGGGTTTCCGTGCTGTTGCTTTACGTGAGCTCTTTGATTAATTTCAATACAAACTTGTTTCTCGTCTATAAGGCCATTGAGAAAACGGGAAAAGCCGATTGGCCCTGGCTGGTGTACACGATTCTGTGGCTTCTGATGCATACGGGCAAAATGTTCTTCATACTCTACTTCAATCACAACGTGCAGCAGCAGGTAGACTGCTCTTAAATACACCTATAAATAAAGTTATTTATGCATTTGATTTTATAGCAAACCCATTGCGCGGCGCTGTTGAGCAAGGTGAGTGCAGCTGGCGAGGATTTGCTGGAGACCATAAATCACTTTGCGCTCCAGCTGCAAGGAAATGTGCGTGCTCATGTCGCCTGCGGCCTCTTCGAGCTGGACTACAAACTTATTCCAGCGGTTTGTGCTCACATTTCACCTTAAATATATAGCTTATATCTAATATTTGTTCTAGCTGCTGATGACCACGGCCAATTTGTTTATATTTCTGCTGCAATATGACATTACATTTCAAGCCTTGGCTCACGCAATCAACATAACGGCATTTTAAATCTTATCGATAGCTTTAAAGCAGCCCAATGTACTTATCGATAGTTTGCAGATATCGCTTGCACTGCAGCCCTGGCAAACACCTGCGCTGCGCATCTCGCAACATTTTTTTGCACATTTATTTGCGCTTGTTATATTAAATAATACTATTATTAACTAATATGTGTGACGTTGCAACGGTGCAGAAAATCGCCAACTGTCTGGGCGTTGCGCCCGGCAAGATTCAGCTCAACGAAGAGCAGGTAAAACACTAGAGTGGGCACATGTGTACATATATCTGTGAGATTAATATAATTTCTGTTGTCAAGGTCGTAACGCGCACTGGCGCCCAAAACAAAACCGTGTCGGGCTTTGCCACAATACTGGAGAGTCTGGCGCGCGAGTCCAAGTCGGAGACGGCACAGAACAGTATTGTCACAAAGGAGGTGCAGGCACAGGTTTACCAGTGGATCGAATTCGCGGTGCTCTATGTGGCGCCCGGCTCCAAGGACAAGCACGTGTCCAAACAGTTGCTGGCCGACTTCAACAAGCTATTCATCAGCAAATCCTACCTAGTGGGGCACTTCATAACGCTAGCCGACCTGGCGGTGTACTATGCCATCAGTGAACTTGTGGTAAGTGTCTGCAAAGTATGCAAAAAGTAATTGTACTTAAAGATATTATAATTTTTACAGAAATCCCTCTCCCCGGTGGATAAGGAGAACTATCTGAATTTATCCCGCTGGTTTGATCATTTGCAGCAGCGACCCGAAATACATCAGGGCGAACCAATGCTCAACTTTACAACCATTTATCTGCACAACTGGGCCACAGGGACGCACATTTAATTAGCAAAAACGATTCCCATATTTATTTCAACACTTTTTTACATACATTTATCTGATGCGCCAATGGAATCTTGTATATTCGTTAATGTAGTCATTTTGAAAAGAAATATATAATTACAAATTATGTGTGTAGATGATGATGACAATCATTTTGGATGCGTTGGCGGTGGTTGCGCTGTGTAGCAGCGACTTGTGCTCCTCCAGCATCAGTTTGCCGGCACCTCCCGCGGCGAGCTCAGCGAGTTGTTCAGCTCGCTGGGCTCGGTGCATTTCCACAGGCCGTATGTCTTGCCCACCGTGGTCTGCCACAGTCGGAGCGTGCCATCCTCGGAGCCACTTGCATACAGTTCGCCATCCGGACTGAACTTGACTGAATGCACTGGTCCAAAGTGACCCTTGGAGGATTCTGAAAAGAAGGACACACAGATGTCAGCCACGTTGGAGGAGAGTTTTCTGTTGTGCTTACCAATTTCGTTGCCTGTTATATAATCGAATTTATACATCTTAAAGTCTTCGCCGCCGCAGACAAAGACGTGCTTATCTGGGTGCAGGCTGGCGGACGCCACATTGGTGGGCACCTTCACCTCCTTCAGCTTTTTGAGCGTCTCGATCTCCCAGAAGCTGATGGTCGAGCCGTGCGTTATTGTCAGCACATGATTGTCGTGCGAGATCTCCAGACTGTTGGGATTGCTGGCGAATTGCAGACGCTGCACCTCGATGCCGGTCATGCGATCCCACAGCCGGACGGTCTTATCATCCGCCGCCGAAATGATGCACTTGTCGTCCCGGCAGAATAGAGCACGTTTTATGGCACCGCCATGACCCGCATACAGCTCCGGCTCGGCATCCGGTTGCTCCATATTGAAGACCCGCACGAGCTTCTCATTGCTGCCGGTGACAATGTTCTCGGAGCTATTGTCAAAGGCGACGCTCTTCACAATATGCTTGTGCTGGAAACTGTGGATTTCGGCGCCGCTCACCGCGTTCCATACCTTGCCGGTAAAGTCGGCGGCGCCCGAAGCGGCCAGCGTCGCGTTCCGATTGAGTGCAACGCCCCAAACGGCGCCCTTGTGACCCTCAAAGGTGCCCACCCAGTCGCCGGTGTCGCCGTGACGCAACATCGGGCTGCCATCTGCAACAAAAGGCAAACGAGAATTTTCATTCAATTCGAACTAAATGCACCTCAAACACAGAGATGTATGTGTGTGAGTGACTGTGTGTGTGTGTGTGAGCGGCGGAAGCTACCTTGACTCAACGACTACGCTCAATGCCAACGACCCGACGGCGGCGATTCGTGCTCGCAAATGGGCAGCCGCCGTGCACCAAGTTCACGTCATTTCCATTTGCAACGTGATCGACAGACAGAACGAGACGGAGAGAGGGCGGGAGGAGCGCTGCTTGAGGCAGGTTGTTTGTGAATAATGTGCAGGGACGCAAATCAAATCGGCTCAATCGGAGCTTTTTAGTTCTCGATTCGACACATTTATATACACTGTTCCCAAAAAAAAAAATGGGGAATATCGCTTATCTATATACACTGTTCCCATACAAAATAGGGGGAAAACTTTCAGCAAATGTTTAAGCCACGCCCCCTAGTCGGGCGTATGCAAGTCCAAATATTTTACACTGTGAACAGTGGCAACACTAGGAAACAGGAAGAGAATTATAGTGGGAACAGAGTATTGCGCAGTTGGAAGCTTACGACTGCAACGTTTTCGATTGTTTGTTTTTTTTTTAACGTGTCGCAGCTGCAGTGCATATATATAAATATAGAAGTTTCAAGGTGCTTCCTGCGAACAACAAAAACAACAAAGTTTTTTTTTGAAAAGTTGCTAAACAAGGGGGAAGCATTGCATTAAATGGCGATAAAAAATTAACTTGAACTTGCAATGGGAAATTTGCTTTCCGCGTGAATGTGTTAGTGTGTGTGTGTGTGACAATATTTTTGAAAGCACAAATACAAAATACACAAGTGTGTGCATACGTTTCTAGACACTGTCAAGGTAAAGAACGTATGTTAAATATATGTATGAATATGCGACTGTGTGTGTGTGTGTGTGTGTGTGTATAGCAGCAGGCGAGTGTTTGGCAAAGGGTTTTCGCTAAACTGGTTTCGTTTTCATAATTTTTGCTTTTGCTTTTGGGTCAAGGTTGCAGCCAGGCTAGACATAGCTCAAGCTAGCACGATGCGTTGTCTATATGTGCATATGTATGAGTGATGCTGTCTTCTGGCCAATACATACAGATGCATACATAGGTGCACAAATAAAAATAACACAAGGACGCGTTTTATACCCTCTACCCATTGAAAATAAGTAGGAGGGGGTATAATGTTAAAAGCATCTGCCACGGTCTCAGAAGCAGTCTGTTATTTTAAAGTTCAGTGTTAACAACTGCAGGAACTAAATCCTTCTGAACACATATTGACAATAAGCAGGGTTGTTAGTTGTTGTTATCGAAACGCAAAACAAATCTAAATTTTACTTTCTTCGGCTGACGACCTCTGAAAAAGTCGACTGTAGCAAGAAAATAGCTGAAATGGCAAAGACTGCCTATAAACTAAAAAGAAATATACCCAGTTGTCGTATTGTGGAGCTAAGGCACAGTGTATTGGTTATGGTATGTATAGAAGTACAAATGTTACACGGCAGCTCGCAGTTGTTAACAGGGTATCGCCTAGTCGGTCGCGATCACATTCAATTATTTGCTTACCTTTGCAAGCCGATATCAGAAAATAGCCGCTGTCGCAGATATCACTGAAATCCAAATGCACCACGGGCCTGGTATGTCCACTGCAGGTCAATGGAATCTGTCGCAAGTTATTGGCCGCCATTCTAAAATCTAAAATCACCTGCGTTTTGCTCCTCCTTTCTTTACTAAAAAAAAACCAATACTTTCTCGCTTTGTATACACTTGTAGCGTATTATGCGCCGTTTTGTCTAATTAATTAGTTATAACAAATAGCTAATAGTTGCTTGGTAGTTTATAAAACTTTGTACTTTGTTTTGCTTAATGGATTTTTTGTTTTGTTTTTTTATTTATTTATTTTTTGTTTAATGCCGTTTCATGCTCCTAGCTGCACTACTTTCATACAGTTCGTGTCCTTGGCAGCTGCACTGCGTGTTGCGTTATTATTGTTGTTGCTCTCGTGTCAGTCACCGCTTTTTACGGCACTTATTTTTGTCAAAAAAACAAGTGGAAACTAATTATTTACATATGTTGCGCTGTTTTCAATTGTTTTTGATTAGTAAGAAATGGAATAAAAATAATTACGCGACACGCTGTTGTTGTTGTTGCACGATTTGGCTGCCGAATGATTGCATGTTGCGAAAAGAATCGACGGCACAGCAATGCTATCGATATTTGCGAAGCACTTTCGATAATATCGATAGTTATGCTCACAAATCATCGATTTAAAGCAGCTGATATGTTTTTTAAAAGCTCATTGCATGAAATGATTGCGCTTTCAAAAGATTCAAAACAAATCTAGGCTAAACAATTTTTTTTATTTGCATTTAAAAATGTCTACGAAATCAAGAATAATATTGAAAGCGTCAACATTACCAACAGATTTGGCATTCCAAAGTACTTACTGTCTGTACGTCTCTCTGCTATCTTTATATGTACATTATTATCAGGCGAGTTTTGCACCTATGTTTGGGTTATGAGGAGGCAAAAATATAACTGCTTTTAAATATAGCCTCACGTTCGAAACCCGTGCATTCTCAAAAAAGAAAGTGCCGTTTTTATTGCATAAAAACGTGTCCAACGTTTACTTAGTATTTGTTCAATGATCTCAGCAGTTTCCAAATGATAAGAAATACGTTTATATCTTGCGCAGGTACAAATAAATATGATATATTTTAAATATTATTGTAATGCTGATTGTGGGAGTTTAAACGAAGAGTATGAATTTTGTAAAATATAGAATTGGACATTATTCCAGTTGGGTTTTAAACAGTCCAATTGGATATTAAACATATTTTTCATAGTGAGATTTAAGAAGTCTACACAAACTCCTGCAGCTTCCAAAGTCTCCAATTGCTGCTCCAATTGTCTCCATGTGAGATTCATGAAATGATCTCAGCAGTTTCCAAATGATAAGAAATATGTATATATCTTGCGCAGGTATAAATAAATATGATATATTTTAAATATTATTGTAATGCTGATTGTGGAATAATATGAATTTTGTAAAATATAGACTTGCACAAGGTTTCCCATTGGACATTAAATATTCCAATTGGAGATTGGGCATTTCACATATTTTCCATGGTGGAAGCTGAGTCAAGAAGTCTACACAAACTCCAATTGCTGCTCCAATTGTCTCCATGTGAGATTACCAATTGGGCAATAAATATACCAATTGGAGACTGGCCATTCCAATTGGTCTACACAAACTCCTGCAGCTTCCAAAGTCTCCAATTGCTGATCCAATTGTGTCCACGTGAGATTCATGAAATTAAAATAGCCATGCTAAAAATGTACACATAATACATTCTCCGCCGTGTCTCGAGTTTTGCTGAGATAATCATCAACACGAGATATAATAAAAAAAATAAGGTGCGATAATAAAGTCATAAAAGTAAAGTACGCCAAATTGCTTAAGCTGCGAAATGTGCATATAAAACCTTAGCAAACTGCCGAAAAATGTATCAGTTGCAAATCGCTAGAACTTCCAGAACAAGTTAAGAAGATGCTGTGCCAGAGACAACAGCTCATCCTGCTCGGAGTCCTGGTGGCGGCCGCCTTATGCACGGCCAAGAATGTGCACAATATCGAAGAGCTGACTGGTCGCAAATTTGCCAAGGCGCGTTTCTCAACGGATGTAGCCACCGACAAGTATACGCCGCCGGAGGAGATGGATCCCCAGTTCTGGTACGATTTGGCGCACGAGGAGATCGCCAAGCGGCTCGCGTTGCCGTAGCCCGATACGAAGCGGGCCAAGAATCTGATACTGTTCCTGGGCGACGGCATGTCGCTGACCACGGTGGCGGCGGCGCGAATTCTCAAAGGTCAGCGCCAGGGCAACACGGGCGAAGAGTCCTCGCTCAGCTTTGAGCAGTTCCCCTACACGGGTCTCAGCAGGGTGAGTCGACGTCTCTGGTTAGCGCCAGGAGAAGCATTCATCTAATTGCGTTCCTAATCCTTCCGTAGACCTACTGCTCCAATGCCCAGGTGCCGGACTCGGCCTGCACGGCCACCGCCTATCTGTGCGGCGTGAAGACGAACATCATCGAGATCGGGGTCAGCGCTGCGGTCAACTTCAATAACTGCACCGCGAGTCAGACGCCCGAGAACCGGCTGACCTCCATTGCGGAATGGGCACAGAATGCTGGCAAATCGACGGGAATTGTGACGACGACTACGCTAACCCATGCGAGTCCGTCGGGCGCGTACGCCAAGACAGCCAATCGGAATTGGGAATGCGATACGGATGTCGCCAGCTACGGCTTGGATCCCAGCGAATGTGTGGACATGGCCACCCAGCTGATTACCCAGGTGCCCGGCAAGAATTTCGACATTATGTTCGGCGGCGGCATGGGCAAATTTCTGCCCAAATCCGTACAGGATTCGCATGGCAAGGCCGGCGAACGCTCCGATGGCGTCAATTTGCTATCCAAATGGCAGGCGAGGCACGACGGCGGCGTCCTGGTCACCAATCGCAAGCAGCTGCTCAGCGTCAATGTGTCCGCGGTGTCCAGCATCATAGGACTCTTCCAGTCCGAGCTGATGAAGTTCCACCTGGAGGCCGATGAGAGCTACCAGCCGACGCTCTCCGAGCTGACGGAGGTCGCCATCAAGAAGTTGAGCCAAAACGAGAATGGCTACTTTGTGTTCATAGAGGGTAAGTTGTGGAAGCTGCTCCCAGTTGGTATCAATTCCTAATCTCTCGCCGTTTGCAGGTGGTCTGATCGATTACGGCAATCATTATACCCAGGCGGGCTACGCGCTGGACGAGGCCTTGGAGTTCGAGAAGGCCATTCAGCTGGCCCGCGATCTGACCGACGATGAGGAGACGTTGATTGTGGTCACATCGGATCATGCGCACACGCTGTCCATTGCCGGCTATCCGGGACGCGGCACGCCCATTCTGGGCCTCAATCAGCACGACACCGATATCAATGGCATCAAGTACAGCACGCTGAACTATGCCGCCGGACCCAACAACTATCTGGACGAGAAGGGACAGCGCATCGATCTGACCGATCAAATTGGCGGCAATGATTTCGTCTATCCCAGTTATATAACCAAGGATCAGGGCACCCATTCGGGCGACGATGTCGGCATCTTTGCCTCCGGGCCGCAAAGTCATCTCTTTACGGGCATGATGCAACAGAGCACGATTCCACATCTGATGGCCTACGCCGCCTGCATTGGCGACGGGCCACAGCTCTGCGACGCCAAGTAGGAGTCATTCCCTATTCCCAGTTCCATAAAAGTGACTGCCATTTAGTCCAATAAAGCACTCTGCTCGGGGAGGGTAGTTACATGATTATTAAAAGATGTCTTTTTCTACCCATATGGAATACCCCTACTAAGCAAATAATATCTCATATTTTATGTCTTGCTTCAGACAGCCATAAACCTATTTATAGACATAATATAACCAGAAGACCATGATCCAAACTTATTACGTCCGTAAGCAGCGAGATTACAAAGCTTCTGAACTTTATGTTAGGCGTTTTTGTAGATTTGTTTTCATATCTTGGCCTGGTCCGAAATTAGTTAAGCCCATTTTTGGATGGATAGCACTCGTGTGGCATACATTTAACAAAAGTTAGGATTGTTTTTATAAAGTTAGGACAGTTTTGTTTTAACTCTTTCTCGATTCTGTTGAGACTAAATTATATTTGAAGATTATGTTCAATTCAGTTAAGAAGTTAGGTTAGGTTAGGTTAAGTTAGGTTAGGTTAAGTTAGGTTAGGTTAAGTTAAGTTAGGTTAGGTTAGGTTAGGTTAGGTTAAGTTTGGTTAGGTTAGGTTAAGTTAAGTTAAGTTAGGTTAGGTTAAGTTAGGTTAGGTTAGGTTAGGTTAGGTTAAGTTAGGTTAGGTTAGGTTAGGTTAAGTTAGGTTAAGTTAGGTTAGGTTAGGTTAAGTTAGGTTAGGTTAGGTTAGGTTAAGTTAGGTTAGGTTAGGTTAGGTTAGGCTAGGTTAGGTTAGGTTAGGTTAAGTTAGGTTAGGTTAATTTAGGTTAGGTAAGGTTAGTTTTAATTTTGAAGTTTTATTTTAAAAAGAACACCCTAAATAAACTTATTCTTAAACATATTTAACCATTCCAATTTAAACTTGTAATTTTATTATTTTATTATTCAGTTCTTCTTCGGGTTATCTCGTTTAAACTTATCGTAATTTGTAAAAAGAAGAATAACCTCAAACAAATTTCAAATAAATACTTAATCTCTCCCAAAGTGCGTGAATTCTCAGTTAAAGCTATAAATGAAGTTTATGGAAATAATGAAATTTCCATATACTTCTCTATAGCTTTAACTGAGAACTCGGAACTCTGGAAAAAATATTTTTTGAGAATTTTTTTCGAAGCACCGTATTTTACTTCTTCTTTTTGCCCTTCTTGCCTTTTTTACCTTTTTTCTTCTTTTTCTTCTTTTTTTTCTTTTTTGGTGGCTTCGATGATTTGCGTTTCGCTAGCTCGATGACCGGAGGCGGAGGTGGCACTTTTTTGGGCTCCAGTTTGCAGACCTCGTCGATGATTTTCTTGGAGAAATGTTTGTCGCCGGTTATCGTGCTGACGGGCACACGATGCCAGTTGTCCAGCTTGTGGCGCGGATAGATCTCCACGTTGCAGCAGTTGGATAACAGTATCAGATCCTCGTTGCCCGTCACAGTTTCGCGTGCCACCAGATCCCGCCGGCAGTTGTGGCACGAGCATTCCTTGCGCCGTATCCGGAATTTCATTGGAAAAACGCGACCCACCAAAGTGTTGTCATCCAAGAAAACGGAGTGCTTATACGGAGGTCTTGGTCGCGCCGGTTGCACCAACTGGAATTGGGTGTTACGGGAGAAAAAACTAGATATACTTTTAAGCAACGTCTCACCTGCCTCGTGTTGAGCATTGTGCTCTGGGGCCTGCATGCTGCAGAGCAGAGATTTGGTTCCTTTGCGGCCCGCGCCTCACACAAATTGCAGCATTTCTCCGTGTTCCGAGTGTCACACTTGGCACACGCTTCGGTTAGATCTATCCGGCGACGTATTGGCGATTCCTTGACAATGTCCGGTTCGCCTTTGACTAGCTTGACGACTTTGATGTCGACACATTGTCCCTGCGACGGTTCCAGGCAACTCCGCGGACATGCTGCTGGCTGCTGCAGAAGTTGTCTCTCGCGCAACAAGCGACAGCTATTGTCGCCCCAATCATGTACCATAGATGGAAGAATCAAATTTAGATAAAGAAATTTGAATGTTTTTCAAGCTGTTTAAATTTGACTTTCCAGTGAAAGCCATGTTTCGGTACAAAAAGTTGAACTACAAGCCGGTTCGAATCCAATTTACACTCATTAATATGCATATGCATAATGTATATACACATACATATACATATACATACACATACACATACATATACATATACATATACATATACATATACATATACATATACATATACATATACATATACACACACACATACACATACACATACACATACATATACATATACACACACACAAACACATACACATACACATACATATACATATACACATACACATACACATACACATACATATGCATACGCATATACATATACACATACTGTCCAAAGCATGACGACCGTACTTGAATTCATGAGAATCGCATAGTAGGGCAGCTGTCTTTTACATGGTTTGTTTTCATAAAGAATAATATTTAATGCCTTTCGGTTAATGATAAATAAAAGCAACAATTGAAACTTAATCAAGTAATTGTAAGGAATGATTTTTTCGGAATATTTTCTTAACTGATGATAAAGTAACTATTTTTCACCGACGCGCACTTTCTGTATGAGAGATTTGCATTCGGAGTCGCGTTGCACGCGATGATAACTGGTTATTCGGCCCAAGGAGGATATAAAGTTCTCATCGTGAGTGATTATGATGAGCATGAAATTCGATTGATACTGTCGGCTCTCGACGATGCGATTGAGGGCGTCGCACAGCGACACAATGTTATCGCGATCCAAGTTGGTTGTTGGCTCATCGAGAGCGAGGACGCCGCAGTTGCTGCTAAATGTCTCCGCCAGAGCCATGCGTATGATCAGAGAGCCGAGGACACGTTGCCCGGCGCTGCAGCGTCCGCGCATTTCGATCTCGGAATTATTCTTGGACTGGACCACGCGATAGTTGTAGTTCTTGCGTCGATCCGCCGAGGCGTCCTTGTCGAGCTCGTCCGTCTTGATCTGTATATAATCGATATCGTTGCCCCTGTAGATCATGCGCCAATATTCCCGTATCAGACTATTTATGTTGTTCATTTTCTCCGCATGAAACTGTATCAGGGCCCATTCGAGCGCCACACGATGCTGGCCCAGATCGTCGATGCCGCGCCGCTTGACCGCCACCTCGAACTGGCCGCGCATATAGTTCTTCATGGACTCCTTGTACTTGGGTTCGCTTATTTCCATTTGCAGCTTGGCCACCTGATTGTTAATCTCGCCCTGCTGGCCGAGCAGCTCGCCGCGTCGCACCGAGGCCACGTCGCGTTTCTTCATCAGCTCGTTCTTCTCCTTTGTCACGCTGCGAAAGTCCAGATTGCCCAATTGCTTGGACAGAGTTTGACAATTTTCGCTCAATTCGGCTTCCTTCAACTGCAGCTGCTTCAACTCGCGATTGTCCTTTAGATCGCGCTCCAGGCTCTGTTGATTGAGGCACTCGGTCTTCAGTGTTTCCAGCTGCTCGCTCTTCTCATTAATTTGTGACTCCTGAATAGGGTTTAATGGAACATGTTTAGTCGTATATCAACAGGTTTCAAATGCACATTGCTACCATTTTGCTGAGCTCCGATTTGATTGAATTTATGGACGCATCGTATTTGCTGATGGCAATCAACAGATCCAGACTGGCGAACTCCTGCGCCTGTTTCTTTAATCTATTGGGGAAATATTAAAAGATTTGCTGTGAATTGGGGCATTTACTGCTCACCTTTGTATGTCCTGATCGGTGCTCTTGTATTCCTGGTACTTGGTCTGCAATTGCGCCAATTGAATACGTTCGCTTTCCTTGAGGCGCGCCTTTTCGCTTAAGGCTGCGCTCAATCTTTGCTTGATGGGCTGAATCTTTGACCTGAGCTCAGCTATTTCTGTGGTCAATGTGATGAGCAGACGCGTCAGCTCGTCCAGCCTGTCCTTCAACTGGGGCAAACTCTGCACGCCCTCCTGCAGCTTTATGCGCTTGTCCTTCAAGCTAAAAGCACGGGCATAGATATTATTTATACACTATTTGTAACGAATTTAAATCTACCCATTTCGAAATTCACGCAAGCGATTCAGCGCCTCCATCTGCTGCTCGAAAGTCTGCTGACTTGTCTCCAGCGCCTTGGACTCAGCCTCTAGCTCCTTGGACACCTCCGTTTTTTCCGCCTGCAAAGCCTCCGTGGAGACGCTGGCATCATAGCTCTCCGGCAACTTAAGCTGGAGTGTACAACATTTTTATTATAATATATATATTTAGTATAATTTTAGGTCGTCGCACCTTGAGCTGCTCCAGATCCTTTTTAACGCGCACAGACTCCTTGAGCGCCTCGTCCAGCAGCGTCATGTCGCCCAGCATCGCATTGGCCAATTCCATGTTGTTTGTGGGCTCGCCGAGCAGCGCCATTAGCGTCTCATATTCGGCCACTATTTCGCCCAGACGCGTCTCAATGCCGCGTAGTTCCTCTTTTTTTTTCGGCAGCGTTTCTTTGAGCTCTTTGACCTTATCGATGGCTGGCCTGATTTGCAGCAAGTTTTCATATTTCAATTGCTCTGACTTTAAAGCCTTTTCAGCGCGGGTAATATTATCCGGCAGCTTTTGTATCTCATCCGTCAGCTCGGTGGTCAGATCACAGGCCTGTTCAATGGGAGGATTGATTAGCTATTGGTCAAGATTTATTTGGTTCCATACACACCTCATCGCCAGACATAATCTGATGGCACAACGGGCAGTTCGGCTCCTCGTCGATCTTTTGAATGTACCTGAGAGAGAGAGAGAGAGATTGTTAAAAGAGATCTACATATTTCGGTTTATGGCCAACTCACTTCTTGTACATGGCTTCGGCGGACTTGAGAGCACCGTGCTCCAGCTGCAGCTTGGATATGGCCGTCTTGCTGCGCAACAGCAGCTCGTCGTAGGGCGTTGTATGGCACTTTTGGTAGATGCGCTCCTCGAACTCTTGCAGCTCCTTCTCCATGCGTGCAATGTCAGCAATCAGATTCTTGCGCTTGATCTCATGCGATTGCTCGTCCAGCTTTTGGCCATTGGCCTTGTCGTTCAGCTCTTGGATTTCACGGCGCAGCTTATCGTAGGCGTTTTGCATGGCGCGACGATAGTTGTTGGAAATCGGTTCATTAAAGAATTTGCCAAAGTGTTCGCTATGTTTGCTGCGCACGCGATTTATCTCCTGATTCTTCTTCTCCAGCTCCTTCTCCTTGAGCCCAATCTCAGCCATCAGCTTGGCTATGGAGCTGAGAAAGGTTAGCTGCTCGTCGAGCTGCTTAAAGCGCGTCTGCTTCTCTGCGATGCTCGCCTTTTTGCCGGCTATCAACTGTCGACAGGCCTCCTGATTGAAGCTGCGCGTCGTCCGCTCGTATTTCTCGTCTGTGTCCGCGATTTGCTTCTCCAGCACCTTGAGCTGATGCAGCGAGGTTTCGATTTGTTTGATTTTCACCTCCAACGATTCGCTCTCCCGCTCGCTGGCCGTCTTCTGTTGCTCCTGCGTGCTGATGCTCTGCTCCGATTTGGTTAGTTCCGTGCGCAATTCGTCGATCTTGGCCTGGCGCGTCTGGTCCGCCTGATCGTTTTGGGCGGCCAGCTCCGTTATCTCGCATTGTTTGCTCATGAGATTCACATCGATGTCATCCAGCAGATCGGCCAATTGCTGCGGCTCATCAACCACAGCCGCCGGCACAGTTATTTGCAGTTGTTTGCACAGCGCGTGAATACGCTCGGACAGCTGCTGCTTGCATTCCTGCTCGCTCTTCTGCTTCTGCTGTGCCATGCAGCGCTCCTTGTCCTGCTTGGCCAGCGTCTTTTGTTGCTCTGCATTCGATTTGCGCAATTGATTCAGCTGCTCCTCGACATCGGTGCGTTGATATCTCATTTCGGACATGCGCTGGCTGAAGCTGCGCATTTCCAGCTCCAGTTCGACGAGGGAGCCTTGGAAGGGGCTCTTGATGTTCCTGTTCAGCTTGGCAATCTGTTCCACGCAATTTTTGTGCCTGTAGAGAGCGAAAGCTATTAAGCAATATTGTTTTATTTAAGCAATTGAAGTGCTCTCACTTGGTGTCCATTTCGACCTTTTGCGCCTGGTATTTGCCAATCTCGAACTCGATGTTGCGTATTTCCTGGAGTCGCGCATCAATTGGTTTCACTTCCTCGTCGCATTTATTGCATTCCTCTTTAATCTCCTCGCATTTTCTCTGAGCTTGCTCCAGGCTCAAGGTTTTCTCGTCCATTTCCTTCTTCAAGTGCTCCAGAAACTTCATGTTGGTCTCTAAAATGGGCACCTTCTTGTTAAAGGTGAAATTTAAGAGTTGTGCGCAACATACCCATTACTTTGAGCTCCTCCATTGCCGTCTTGCGCAATTTAATGATCCTGTCGAGCGCTTTGTTGTACTCGGTTATGCCGAAGATCGCATCGAATTTCTCCTTGAGCTTCTTGGCCTCGTCCAGCGGCCAGCTGGCGTCCTCTTGGTGGCAAAACAGTACACTATTTATTATGGCCTTCGAGACGCCCATAAAATCACTGACAGCCACGTCCGTGTTGATGCCCCGAAAGCTCATCGACTCCTGGCTGTTGGACCTGGCCGGCTTGCCGTCGCTGCCCAGGAAATTGAGCGTGGAATCGATCGTTTTAAAGGTGGGCTTGCCCCGCACTATGGACACCTTCATGCTGCGGCAAATGGAGAGGCACATGTCGCGACGATCGCGCACCTGCAGCTTGACCTGGGCCAAGGATTCTTTTTTGCCAAATATCTTGGGATCGTGCACAAAACTTTTGCCGCTGTCGCTGCCGGGCGGACACTCGCCGGTGAGCGCATATTTGAGGCATTCAATTATCGTTGTCTTGCCACAACCGTTTTGACCCAGGATCAGAGTTATGGGCGACGAAAATGTGATGCTCTAAATATTAGGGATTAGCAACAGCTTCTACTTTATACCAAACTATAGACGTTCACCTGGACATCTTCGGCATTCGCTCCAAAGCTGCGTACGCCCTGTATAGATAGTTTCTCAATTGTAGACATTTTTAATATCTAATTTTTAAATGATTTCACAATGTCCAGAAACAACG